GGAACCAAGCGTTTTTTCGTAAACTAAGCATTTTACGAAAAAAATAATTAGTGTAGCGTAAAGTACAATTAAAATGTGACCATTTATCAAGAATAACATTTTTCGAAATTTCTTTTAGTTTTCGAGTTTTGGAAAAAAAATAAATTTTTTAATGGCAACCCACCATCGTAATTTTTTTAATTAAAGATTATGATCTAAAAATGACCTTTAATTAAACAGAATTGTTTTTTAGTCAGTACTTTTTTTTAAATAAATTGTTAAAGTTGCGTTCCGAGCCCAACACGAAGATTTTCCGAACTTGAACGAGGAAGTCGTTTCATGACTTTGGTCGTTGGAGAGCCCCTGCATAGAAATCAGCGCTCTCCCATGATGAAATGCATAAAACAACCACTTCGGTTAAGTTCGGAAAATCTTCGTGATGAGCTCGGAACGCAACTTTAACAATTAATTAAAAAAAAGTACTGGCTAAAAACAATTTTATTTAATTAGAGGCCATTTTTAGATCATAATCTTTAATTAAAAAAATTACCATGGTGGGTTGCCATTTAAAAATTTTTTTTTTCCCTGAAGTCAAAAACTAAAAGAAATTTCGAAAAATGTTATTCTTGATAAATGGTCACATTTTAATTGGACTTTACGCTACACTAATTATTTTTTTTGTAAAGTGGTTAGTTTACGAGAAAAACGCTTCGTTCCATACTTTTTATTCACCTGGTATGTAATGCATTGCATTATTATGTATATCTATCTATACATAACATATTCATTTTTGTTTTAAACCTGAGTAGGCTGTAGGAATTTGGCGAGTTGTATAACACTGTGACTGAATGACAATAAAATAGCCTACTCTGGTCTAAAACAAAAATGTATATTAAATACCTATTATGAGTATATGACCTTTGGAGCAATAATGATAAGATTAGAATTTATAAAGCGATCTTAAACAGACATTAACAAAATTTGCATTGCATACTAGCTATGTCACAAATGTTTACAGTACAGTTCTAGTATAAATCGTTCTCAAAACAAATTTAATAATTTTTTAGGTATTTTATTTGCAATTGGCAATCACCCAAGAAAAACAAACATTATGAACCACGACGTGCCTCATTTATCTTATTACGCTCAAAGAATTTCACTACGTGTTGTAAATAGCATTTTTCTTTGATGATTATTAAAGAAAAAAATCAAAGTTCAAAGAATAACAATTAAAAAATGTGGAATGTTTGCTTGTATGAACAAAAAGCCTTTAATCAAATATTGGTCCCATTCCCCAAGTGGAATTACCGCTGTTTAAACCAACAAATGACAAACAAGAAAGACCTTTAGGTAAATAAATAAGTCGATTATTCAGAATCGATTTGATAACACATTATGTAAAGATCGGTAAGTCTAAAACCAAAATAAATACAACAACAATTTGTTTAAACAAAAAAGTACCCAAGAAAATTCTTCTGTCATGGTCGAATTTGTTTTATTCATAACGTCTTTATTTCAATTATATTAAAACTAGAAAGCCCTTAAGAATGAATATTCAGCAAATCTTGTTTCATTTCAGTTAGCACCCCATCGGCGATAATTAAGGCCAATCACGACGCGCACTCGACCGTTTTAATTTGGCACCGGAAGATGGAGACACTCTCTCTTTCCAACAACCGGCCCTTAGACTTAAATGCAGGAAGTGCGCCTATTTCAAACAGTGGGTGTGATATATCAACCTGAACCTGTCCCCCAGTGAGGCTTCCATGTGAGAACAAATGAATAAAAAAAATAAGAAACGAAAGCGCAACGAAGAGATTCATTCATTTAAAGAACAAGTTATTTTTATAAAGACAACAATTATGTAAAATAAATAATCTAAGCAACATACGTTTAGTTTCATTTTTTCACAAAAAAATGTCCACAATGCGTTTATTTCGTTTTTATCATTACCTACACACACAGTGGAATCTTTTTTAGTTTTAAAAAATATCCCTTGATTTCTGATGTTTTACATTTTTGATCAGTATGATTTTAATAATTAATAATTTGAAATTTTTGTTATAGTTTTTCTTATTTTAAAACTTCTCCCTTTATAGTATATTATGTAACTAGTGCTATAAACGCAACTTTAGACATAAGTGCAGCGAGAAAGAAGTTCATACAAGTGTATATACGTTTATAGATGTGTTACATACTATACTTTTTGTACGACCATCCACGATACACTTATACCGGTGTGCTACGGAGCCAGCTTAATTTCGTTCAATTCGGCGCATGACGTCACGTGCGAAGTAACTACACAGGGCTGAGCCAAGCCGGTGTGCAATGACTGCAATGTATTGAATAAATTGGTTTTATTTTTTTCTTTTCAAACACAAATTAAGAGGTTTTTTCTCAAAAACTTATTCAATTAATGGTAACACAATCATTTGTTTTATTTCACGAATGTTGTTCTGGTAATACGCGCCTAAATGCAGTCAAAGGAATTGCTGAATGGAGTCGACTAAATATAAGTTTCTAATAAAAATTTGTTACACTAGCCAACAAGCGTTTTGTGACAGAAGAAAACAATTATTTTTTGTTCAATTCTATGTGCTAGACACAAAAATCATAAAGAAAATTCCATAGCACGTCAGATTTTAAAGTTAGGCATTTTAAGATATCATATGTAAGTATGTTCTACAAAATCGCCGAAAAACGAAACACTTAAAATTCATTTTCTCCATTCTCATTTAAATTGTTTTCCCCCAAATTTGAGTGCCGTTAAGAGAGATGGGATCCAGCTATGATGGGAGATTACTGCTGGTTCCTGATAAGGGAAGTTAAAAAGAAAGTCAGCTTTTGCAAAAAACTCATCTACAGCGGAATTATAATAGAATCTTATACATCTTTCAACATTGTTCTTGTTTAGTGAATAAATTAATTTCTTTCGTCGTCTATTTATTTAATTTCTATTTTAAATGAACAATTTTTACGATAAAATTTGAGAAAACTATTTTCCTGTAACTTAAAATCTGTACGTGATGGAGAATTTTTCTTATCAAATTCGTAATTAGGGAAGTTAATGCACCCTGATACACGTGTCAATAGATCAATCACGTTAAAAACAATTGTTGGGTAATGTTATTAGTTTGATATTTAAGTTAAGAGTTTATATTCTCTGAAAATAAAAATAAGTGTAGTGTTTTGGTATTTGAAGTAAATTCAGTTATTTAGTAAAACGTTGCAAAGTTCAACAACAAACTTAAACTTGTTTAAATCTTTTACAAAATGTAGTAACTTTTTTTTTTCAAATATTGTCGTTTCACCTATCCTGGGACACACTGTATTAAATAATTTAGTATCTGCATTTTTCAATATTTTTGTTGTTATTAGAGTCTTATTAACGTTCCACTTTTAGTTGGCTCTGATAAAAGGTCCTTTTCAAAATTAAAAATTGTCAAAAATTACTTAAGAACAACACTGTTTTAAAGTTTTCAAAATTGTAAAAGACAACTAGTAAGCAAAATGAATAAATTTACCAACCACAAAAATTAAATCATTTGTATAAGTTGTGCCAAAGCCATCGCCACTTCTGTCATTTTTCACAATATTTTTTCTGTATGAAAAAGTGGGGCTTCTTGGCTTAAAATTTGTCAGTAGAGTTCATTTGTAACATAGATTCTTCTTTTATACAAAAATCAAATGTTTCTGAGATATTTCACCTCAAAAAACGCAGTTGCAAAGTTGTCAGTGATGTTAGCGATGGCTATGGCACGGGTATTATTTTATGTTTATTGGTATGTATTAAATGTTTTTATATTGTGTTTGTTATAATCGAAGAATTTTTATCAGTAGTCATTGTGATTTTACTCACTTTATCCACAAAAAAAAACTATTTTCAAACAAAATTGAGTTAAGATTAAGATAAATTCATGCGTATTATAATACGCTCTATTAGTGTGACGTCAGCAAGGTACGTGACTGTACCTTTGAAGCTAAACAAATAAAAGTTTATTTCTTGAATCCTGGACGTGTAGGGAACTAGTTGCTATGAACAATGTGTGTCGTTTCGCAATGGTTTTAACAATTGTAGTCAACATTTCTGTAATTTAATCTATTCTAACCTCACTTTCTGTGTACGTCAAAAATATATGTACAGCATTGCCAGAATGTTGCAAACGACAGGAGTGGATAGGTCGTACCAAAACAAAACAAAATAAAAAAATTTAACATTCACATAATGTGTATTTGGCTGAGAATATAAATTATTATTGTTTTACAAGTAAATATAAATATCTAGTAAAAAAAATCTAGTATCAATTTGGTACTCTAGTATCACAACTGGCAACACTGTATGTTTAGCTTCAGTACAGTCGCGTCTGTGACGTCACCTCTAATAGCCCGTATAGCGAGGCACAGAAGAGTTGCTTCGCAAGTGACGTCACTGGGTGGGGGTATGCTGCGCGCTGGCATACCGTTGTAAGTGTATCGTGCGACCATCACAAAAAAATTACTTAAGTTAAAAATTAAATTAAATAACAGAAAGCTAACTTCATCCCGCATATTAGGTACGGTTTGTCAAAATGTATATAGAGCATCACTTAGCGCCATAGAAACATATACGATAATCCGTCTTTTAGATGTGGGAGTAGAAAAAATTAATTAATTAATGAATTTCACTAGCACTTTATCACTTTCTTAGCATGATTTTGCGTTCAGATCAAACGCACTAGATGTGTTATTTGACACAAAAAGAAATTGGCTCTCGTACAAATTTAAACTTCACAAATGTTTTTCGGTTTATTTTCGAAAATTAAACAAATCACCAGCTGCTAATACATCAGAGAAAGATTGTGTTTTAATCTAGTAAAATTTACATGTTTGACTGTTGTTACAATTTTACGAAAAAATACAACACAACTTTTAAATCCAAACAAAGCATTAGCCAATAAACATTATTTAGTTAAAAATATAAATTTCTACAACAAATACACTGGTAGTAGATCAGAGTACCCATAGTCATGAAAACAACTCACCTTAATCGAGGCTTGTTGTTTAAAGGTAACCCTCCTCTTGTTCTGCCCTTTGGCCGGGACACTCACTTCGTAAAAATCCTCATTCTCGACATCGTAGTCGAAGGAACTGTACTCCATGTCCATCTGCAACAACATCGCCATCAGTTTGTATGTATAACTGTAACTTGATCCAATGCAACAGGTGGCACACAGGCCTCAATCATCCCTCAGATTCCCACACCCTTACAACTTTTAGCGACTTTCAAGGCAAAGCAACCCCTAATTGCCAAACGAGACACGTCGGCCGAGACTGTTGGCGTCAAGAAACCTCATTGCAAATTCAAATCGATGCAGCTTCAACCTTGCAAGGTGCATCGCTGGGGCTCGAAAGGCTCCATCTATTTGTTTATGAATGGCTGGGATACCGAGAATTTCGAGATAAATCGACGGTTTTAAATAGAATGGAAATGTATCAAAGTCATTTTGTTTATTACCTCTCACGTATTGAGTAAGCCACGAAAATTATCCGCGCCAAAAGCAGGTGGAATAGGTGCAAAATTTCGTAATCTTATGACAGAGAATTTTATTTAACATACGATGAAATATTGTATGGTGGGCATGGTGGGCCAGATGTGAAGTGTATGTAATAAGATCACATGGCCGGGTTGCTTGTTCTACAACCCTAGATCTCGAGGACTAAAAAAAGAAACGATGTGATGCGTCATTGTAACCTATAGAGAAACGCACGATCACAAAATCTTATCTTAAAAGATTCTTGAATTGTTTTAAATAAGACAATGATGAATCCTAAATTTAGAAACAATTCAAATTAATTAAAAAATAATTTTTCTGAATAATTCAAAAACAGCCTACTAGTTATTATCAGAAAAAAATATCAAATTAAATTGAAAGACATCTTGGTCTGTAGTTAATAAATAACAACCATACTCTCAACTAGAAAATCTGTAAATCCTAATCAACAATAATAACATCACGTCATATATACAGATAACGACGTAAATATGACTTTTATTTAAAGATATTATTTTCTAACACAATTTCGGTGTAAGTAATCTGCAGTAACATACATCTAACAAGTTGTTTAATTATGGAGTCACCTTGTATGAATAATAGTTACTTATTCGAAGAGTTTGAGTGTAAATCGGACGCTTTATTTCACGAGTGGATTTTTAAACCACGAGTGTTAACGAGTGGTTTATCACCACGAGGTAGAATAAATAAACCGATTTACACAAAGACGAGTTGAATACAACATTTTATTCTTCGAATTAGACTCAACAAGACTTAGAAATGAGAAATGCCAAACAGTTGTCAAAACTTCCTTACACAAGAGAAAAACCGTAAACAACAAACAACAGTTCAACAAACATTACCACAAAATTTTGACAGATAGGTATAATGAAGGAATAAAGTCCAAAACGTAGATGAGCGATTTCTGGTCATAAATTTAAACCATATTTCTCTTCTGCCATCTTGTATTCAAAGTGGCTGACTAATGAACTCATCATTATGTGTTTTTGTAGGATTAAATTTTTTGAATTACTGAAACCTACACATAAATACTTCAAATAAACATTCTTAAATCTGTTGAAAGAATTTCTCATTTCTCCCTCAATTTATTCCGAGAACAGTTTCAGCGCCTGTCAGACGAGTATAAATTCTGCATCAATCTACATGAGGTAGAAAAATTGTGTTTTATGAAATCAACAAATTTGATATTATTCCGTTATAAAAACTGTAACTGACATATCCAGGATAATAAACAAATCATGATAAAAATACTAGAAATACAGATTTTCTTCTGTGAATCGATTTTCCAAGAAATTCCACGATCGAACAACCACTAAAAACACTGTTGTAACAAATAAGTTTGATTTATCTGAGAGATGTATTCTTACTATAAGCATTATCTTACTATTATTACACAGACGAAGCAACAAATAAGATAACACAACCTTGAAAACATTTTTAATAATTTAATTTCTACACACAAAACAAATTATAAATATAAAAAAAAGTGAAATAAACATAAAAATATCCAAAAAAATAGCATAGTGTGCTAATCAATATTAGAAAATGTCCCTTACGAATGCCAATTAATAAAAACTTATTCTATTGAACTAACAATTATTTAAAGTAGTCGTGCACAAACATTGCCAACCATTCTGCAATAAATGCTAAAAAAGGTAAAAAAAAAGAATGTCTACTGAACTCTACTCACTAAATAGTGTGACCTGTTTCCGCAGTTTACAAAAGTAATTAATACACGTGATGAGGATAGATCTCAAATGAACGCTCCGTATATCAATCACCCCATAAAAATGAAGCAGTTAACACCGAACATAAAATTTGTTAATAGAACATTAGATGTTTAGAAGGGTACTGAAACACTCAAGAATTAAATACAACTTTTATTCGTTTGTTAACAGTACCATTGTTAAAAATGTTTTCTTCCGACTCTGGAAAACCTTTTGCAGTTTTAGAGACCAAATGAATACTTTTACTTCAACACTAATACATAGGTATACAGTACAATATAAACAGATTTAAGTATTTGATGAAGTAACATCACGGTACGCCAAAAAATCGCTGATTTATTTGAATAAACATTTTATAGATTTATTTGGATAACACTACAAGTGTATTTAGCAGACGTTCCAACATAATATTATTCTAGCAGTACATTTTTTAAGAAATAATCAATGACAACAGATCATACAAAATTAGATGAATACCTACAAACATTTATTTTCTGCAATCGTAACCTAACAATGTTAGTAAATTATTTGTTTCAAAAATCATCGAACAATAAAAAAAAACATTTTTGTTACTTATAAAATCGGAAGTTTCTTTTGTTGAAAATATTGAAAATCATTTCCTCTCGAATTCTATACCTAATAATGAAAACAGTTAATAAATATATCTCGATAAACACTAGTACAGCATGACAGTTGTAACTAGTAGGTATCTTACGTATGATCATTATTGCATCATTATTGCACATTAATGCATATTCAAAATAATAAATAATAAATGTAAATAAAAGTTTTATTATTGTATTAAAAATACATCAAAATTCCAAATTATTAAATTAACTCCACACTAAAAAAATATTCAATACATCAAATACGAGTATTTGCTGTGAAATCAAACCGCTTGTCATTTAAAAAAAATGTCAACCACAGATGTTAAGGGGTAACCAATATTGCCAACATTTGGTAATTTTTTTGATGGCCTAGGCCCTCAATAGGGCTGTTTCAGGACGATTATGACGAATGCAAACTCAACGTTTCTGAGCGGAGAAAAAAAAATTTGTCTTGCTTTAAGTTTTTTGTTCTGTATGTTATGATCTACCCTGCAAAATTTTGCCTATTATAACATAAGAAATAAACTAAAAAACAAACAAAATTCAAGATATTATGTTCATTATTAATACATGTGCAAATATTTAATTAAAATTTTATTTCAATTGATAGTTTTATCTTGATTTAATTATGAATTTTCATAAAAGTTATAAAACTTCTAAAGCATTTGATTTATTCGAAATATCAGATTACTTGACATAGTCTTTCTCATCCCAACCTCATCATACCAAATTTCAATATGCACCTCGCAGCAAATGCCTCTTTATGATCTCATACCGATTGATCAAAACTCACATTTTTTGTACAATCAAACCCCTATAAAAGATAGAGGCGTTTGTAAACCTGCAACCCTCCTCATATTGCACCCTCACAACTATAGCAATCCCAGATGCAGGTGTACAACGTTTCGCAATTCGTTCATGATTGAAGGCACCTTTATCAGTGCTTATTCAGTATTCCTTTTTGAATATTTGACATCAGGAATAATTTAAATAGCAAATCAATTGCATCGCATTTGGACATGCCTATTAATATGCACTTTGGTGCCACCTAATTATTCACTCGTTTGGATTTTGGAATTTGAATTATTATAACAATGAAGATAAAATAAGCCATAAATGTGTTGTTTTCAACAAAGAAAAAAAAATGTTCTCTAATCTTTATTGTGTCTTAAAGACATCCACTGCCATCGTTCAACACAATCAATAATTTTTGGCGCAAATTCAACCGTGTTTTTTTTAACAAAAATTAGCGAGTCCTCAAACATTATCACAGTGATAATACCAGTATCTCCCTTATCACCTCTCCAGCACCAATGCAAGTTTTTTCAGGTAAAGTGTCGCATTTCCAGCAAATATGCGAATATAAATGCTGACTGTTGGTTGTCATGCTTTAAAGCGCACTTTTAACCGCGTTTCAGCCCCTGACTTGGCACACCGACACCCCTCCACAGGCTCCACTGCCCCCAACTTACTTTTGCATCAATGGACTGTCGTGTCCTTCAAAAGGCTAATTTCCACCCGCTTTTCACACAAGAAAACTCACAGCAAAACAGAAAACACAGCAACACCACACTTTCTATATCATCTACTGTACACAAGTAAAAAGAGATAGGCGATGATGCTCAGCGAAAAGATAACTGAATGAATTGAGTAAGAGTGGGGAGAGATGGCCCGCCATTGGCCGGCGCGCCGACTCTAGTGCTAATATTAGCCTGTTTGGGACCCTTTTTCATACAATTTTCAATTATTGTCTGTTTCCAAAATGAAAAATTTCAACTTACAAACGGGTTATTGATGGCTGGCGAATCTTAAATCGGCCATAAATCACAAAGTATTGCTTACATTCATTATTAATCACTCTTAACAATTTGATACAATCAAAATGCGATAGTGCTATAAAATTTCACAAGAAAGACAAAGACAGATGCGCGGTTGCTAAGCCATTTATAGCGTAATTGTTGTCTAATATTCTTAACTCAGTTGACGCCACTAGGTGGTGGGGAAAGGGTGAATCAGCAAGGAAAAAAATAAAACAAAAACGCTAAGAAAATTTATAAAAATATTACAGTACTGCGTACTGCTCATACAAGAGTTCTTTCACTTTGTAATAATCTTCCGAAATGCAACCTTCCAGAATCACTCTTCCTGCTTCTACCCTCCTGATGGCTAAAGTACCGTTGCTGCACCATAAAACTCCACCTGAAAATTCCGAATTTATGTTGCTTTTAGCGAGGATTTGTTTGAATTCGGAGAGTTTTAATTCGTTGATGAATACTGTGTCGTGGGGGATATTGTCACCGTAGGGCTCCAAAGTTAATATTTTTGACTCGTCCTCATCGACTGTAAAAAAATGAGATTCAAATGAGCAGTTGACCTTTGTTAACATAAATAAAAGTATTCGGACCGTTGTAGATCAAAGAAAATTTATAATGGAAACAAAGGCAATTAAAAGACGCAATCGACCAATTTCATTGACGACATTGACTTTAGACGCGCACTGTATAGTTATTATTATAGTTATTGACAACGTATAATTTACAGATTTAATATTTGTATGAATAATTAAAATGTATAATTTACCTTCCATTGGTTCATTATCAACATTCATCCTCTTAGCATCCAATTGACTCTCCCTGACCACAATCTGCGCGTTAACCCATGCAACTTCGGCGTCCTTAGCCTTTTGAAAATTTAGCTGAGACACCAGAGCATCAGTAAGACGTACTTGATAAATATGAGTCTCAGTAGTCGCATCCACGATTTCACCCCTAGCTGGAGCAAACACCCTTGCATCAAGATTCTCCTGACAGTGATTTTTTATTGTGTTTGTACTCTCAGGCGAACCTCGAACAATAATAACTCTTCTAGGTCTTAACTGAGACAAAATTTTCATAAGCGATTCCCCATCTGAGCGACCTTCGAAATCAATGTATTGCACTTGACAGTTAACTTGGACAGTCCTGCTAAGTACAATGCACTTGGATGGCGTTTCAATCACTTCAGCTATGAATTTAAATTAGTAGAAATATAATTTTAACTGAAGTCGATTAATACTTACGTATGACCTCTTCTTCTTTTTTAATAACAACATTTTCTTTATTATCTTCTACTTCTGGAGCAATTTCAGCCAATTTGTAGTCTTCAGGTCTGATTATTTCGCCATATTCGTCACATTTGATTTTTTCTTCATGAAAAGGGTATATAGGATATTGTTTTTTAGTAACTTTAAAAAAGCCACCTGAAGTCTTGCCTTCCTGTTTTATAACAATATCGTGACGGCCTTTTGAAATGACACTCATTTCAATATCATCATCGGAATCTGATTCTTCGCTAAAATGAGAGTTCAGTGACTGGCACTAACCCAACTTGAACTTACTCCCTGTTGGAATTCTCATCGCGTTTTTCTCTTTGGTTCTTCAGATACTCTTCCAATTCGCTTCCTTCTAATTTAACTCGTCTTTTCACGATCAAATCGATTTGTCGGTTTCCCCCATTATCGACTAAATCTCTGGCTAAGGTACCAGGTGACGTCCTTAAATCAAACTTTTAGTGATAAAACAATCAAAATTAACAACAATTAAAACCTAGTTGTAATAATAATACTATTGTTACGATTTGAACACCACTGAAGAAACAGTTCGCGAGAGAACCCACTTTCCATATCAGGAGAACTTGCTAGAACGACTTTTGGACTTGAAACTTTCTGAAGTTCATGTAAACTGTGACATAATTGCAGATGTTTAAATTGAAAAGGATTATTTCTAGCGCCTTCAAAACTCCTCATTAGTTTATCACTCATCCACTCAATTTGAGATTTAGCAAACTCAACAACATTGTAACTGACATTACTTAGCAGAGCTAGAGAATACACTAAAAGGCCTGATTCTTTGTTTCTCCAAAGTTGGTCCAACATATGTGCTAGTTCTAAGACACGACCTGCTGTGTCCACAGCGACCAAAACATTGCCGTTGTTTCTCAAGGTTTGCAAAATATTGGCTAAAAAATTATTTCACAATTTTTTTTAATTAAATGTATGAATTATTACTCATCAGTTTTTCATCTCTAGCCCTTCGCCTGGCTTGTTGGTAAGTAGCATTAAACGCGTCAGTGATAAAGAGAGAAGGCCTTTGTAATTTTTCTAATTCACAACCATTCAAATGTCTTTCTTTTTTGTGGTTGAAATCGTTTGCATAAATAATGTCTTCTTCACCAACTTTCATTATTTTCCAAATTGTGCCACCAATCATGTGGCCAGCAGGCAGAGGGGTGATTGTTAATCCATATCCTTTACCTATTTACAAAATTTATACTTTTTTAAAATAATATATTTTAAAATTACCTTTCAATGGAACACTTTGGTTGTACTTCAGCTGAATAACTTTCTCAAAAGTGGCGTCCACATCATCCAATGTAAATAAATCAAAGTCTTCCATATTATAATGAGACTGATACAAGTCATACATAAACATTTGCCCCATTTTATAGACCGGTATGGTTGCATAAATAGGGCAATTTAAACCTAACTTCCCAACTAAATATGGAAGAGCCCCCAAATGCGCGACATCAGGATAAGAGATCAAGACGGCGTCAATCGTGTGAACATGCCTTAAATAAATAAGTCACATTAAATTACCACTTTTAGGTTATGTTCACCTTCTCATTTCTTTGATAATTTCCAAATCGAAATGTTCGTCCCAACCACAGTCCAATAAAATACGCACTTCGTCGACTTGCAAGATGTAACAAGGGGGCGATTCGTCCATAGCCCCCGAAAGGGCCTGCAGTTTGATTATTGAAGTCATTTTTCATATAAAATAGTGAATTGTTCAAATCTATAAAACGTCGAGCATATCGTGTGTTATATGTCTATAGAAGTTGTAATTTAATACACAAAAATGTAAAAAATTCTCATATTTTGGATGTTAGGGTGATACAGGGAAATTCGCTTTCTCATTATTGACAGTATAACAGAAACGCCAACCAAACTGACGCACACACCCCACCACTGTGCTGTGCGTATGACAGTTGACAGTTTTTTGAGAATTATTCTATGATTTCTTTTCTTTTTTTTTACAGAATTATAAAAGACGGGAATTTTTGTTTATTGTGAGTGACTTCGGGTGTAAGAAAAAGATGTACCCATCAAGAAATTGATTAATTAAGTGAAGTGACTTAACATAACCCCAAATTTGCTCTTTCAATATTATTTAATCTATTCTTAAAACTAAATTATAATGGCTAATTCGTGTTCGGAGTTACAAAAAGTCTTAGTTGATGTGTTGAGTGACCTGAAATACATGTCAACGCAAGTTATAAAAAAATCGGATAAATTATTGAATGAAGTTGGGACTCTTAATCCTAGTTCTGTAGATCCTATAACGCAAAATATTAAAACTCTCATCGAGCGGATAAATATAAATGTAGCCGAATTTGGCAACACATTCAATTCTGCATTTGAAAAGTACAAGAAAGACGACGAAACGGAGAATTCTAAAACTGCCTCTAGTCACAACGCACAAGAGAATCATTCTGAAATAAAAGTCCAAATCCAAGAGACTGACATAAATTTAGTAAATTGTGATGTTGAATCAGCTGCACCACAATTGCCAGGAACTTCAAGAACTGTTAGCATCCCGACTGAAGATATTAAAGACGATAAAAGTGATGATGGAAGTGACACAGATTGTGAGGAGCCGACACTGCGAAATTTTGACATTCCTATAGCTGATGGCTCAGTAGATGGTACTTAGTATTTCACTTATGCGATGTAAAATTAATGTTGGAGTTGACTCATGTTGTAGATGTAGCTGGAGAATTAAAAAAGGCTTTAGACGAATTGAGTTGCCGAGATGAAACAAAACATGAAATTAGACATGATTTTGAAACTGCAAGTTTTGATTTTGATGATACTGATGGTAATTGCATGCTCTTAAGAATTTTATTCTGTAGTAAATGCTTCTTCTTTCTAGATCAAGTTACAGCTGCGATCGAAAAAGCCGAAAACAACGAAGGTATGTTTTCCTTGTCTATTTTTAAAGCTTATGCTACATTCAGAATTTTCTTAATCCACAGTATAATAAGAATAACTTATTTACTTTACCATTCATTGTAAGTCTGCTCTTTAATAAATGAAATTGTAATTCATTTTTAATTGCGTCTCACAGATATTTTAAATAAGTATTTTGTATTTTAAAGGGACTGACTGATTGAAATTAACTGCATTTACGTTTAACCCTGCAGAAGACACGTGGATTTTTAAAACAAAAGTACCACGTAAGCTAAAATTTTAGCAGTCTTTCCAAATTTATTAAAGAATGGCAGCCAAAATTAAGAAGGTAGATGTATAGCATACCCCCACGTGTATTCTCCAGAGTTAACATAGATAGAATAAATATCTTTTGACTATATGCTTCTTTCTCGAAGGATGAATGACTCTTTTATACAGAGATGTTCGTGTTACATTTTATATTCTAATTAAAATGTTTCACGTTGTGTAATAAGTAATAAGAATATACTTTTTGTAAATGTGAAACAATATGTTTTTACTACATATAACCATTTTATTTTATTTTGTGCTACCTGGATTTTTTTGATTTATAAAAATTGTTGGTATATTTTTCATAAATCGTCTTAATTTTTAAGTTGTTAAGTATGATGTTGTCCCCTTTCTGTTTTGTTCTACAAATTTTGTTTGAAGTAAATGTAAATGCAACGACTTTTAGTTTACATAGTTTTATTACTGATGGTTTATGATGCCGTTCCAAATTATTATTCGGTTATGTCATTACTTGGTTTTGCTTCATGTCACCCATAGCCCCAGAATTTACAGTTATCTTTCCAGAATTTTGATGAGACGATAACTAAACAAAACAAAAGTATGTATTTAGTTTTACAAACTTTCTCTTTTCGTTAATTCCGACCAAGTGTAGATAGGCATCTGCCAGACATAAGTCTACTTACAGATAAAAGATATGTTTTCCTACTACTCTAACATAAAGTAAGTTTTGCCAACCTAATTTCAGAAAGGAATGTGGCCAATTCCCTCTTAGGGAGGTAAAAATTTTACCTGGATCGTAGGAAAAATTATACAGTATGTCCCCGGATTGAGTTTACAAGACATCTTTGATTTTACGCCAAAACTTCAAAGGAAAAACATTTTTTGCTTCATCTGAAACGAGCAAATCTGTAATTAAAACTTTATTATTCTGATTCAGTAGGAAGAAAAGTTAATTTTTCTCTTAATTTTGGACTATAATAAATTGGTAAAAATATTTGGCCCTTCGGCAATTTTCAAAACATTTGTTAATGATCTATTATCTTATTTCTTAAAGAAACTGTTTAAAGAAAACTCTCTAGTAATTGTAAAGAATATATTTATTTTGTAGAAAGTGAAAAGCTTGAATAAATATAAATAAACACAAATTACATTTTTATAGCTATTAAAAATAACTGTATATTTAGTGGAAGCAGACTTTTTTCGCTACTTTTTTAAGTAAATCTAAAAGTACAGCATTTTTCGGTTGATAAAATTAAAGAGCAAACTTTTAGTTATTCAAATTATGTATTTGAATTTTGTTTATACTTTTTTCTTGATGTATTTTAGGTGAGGCACAAAAAGACAATCATGAACTCTTAGATTTACTGACTAAAGCAGTCCCCGACTCCTTCGATCCAGATTTGATAGCTATTGGAGATCAAGCCTTACAAATTTTAGAAGAGGAGATAACATTATCAAGTTGTCAAGATTCATTGTCGGATGAGTCTTTGTATGTTACAGAAATGAAATAATTTTGTGATAGGAACATTTAAGTTTTAGATCTGATGATGAGAATTCCGACAATGAAGCAAAACCTACAAATTCGGAAAAAAAAGATGAAAATAAAGTCGAGGTTTCTTGCGTAACTGAAACTGTTCCCGTAGAAGACTGTCAAAATTTTTCTTTAAAGTTACGACGTATTGATAGCAGTGATGCAGAAATAGATAAATTATGTAATACGGAAACATTAAAGCAGAAATGTAAAAAAATAGTGGCACGATGTAGAAGAAAGAGGTTCACGCGAATAAAAGTTTTGGACAGTTCTTCATCGTCGTCATCGTCCGAAGATGAAGATTCTTCAGATAATTCTAAAACGCCTGATCTCATTATGAACGAAGAACGTCCCTCTTCACCCCTCTTGGATTCTGACGATGCACTTGCGGCTTTAGCTGATGGATTAATGGATAAATTGGAAAAAGAAAATCAATCAAGCTCAGATTCGGACACTACGGATGCTGAAGATGGGGAACCGGAAAAGAAGAAAAGAAAAATAGCAACAGAAAATGAAGAAAGTGTGAGTGAAAGTAAAAGTGATTCTGTTACAAAAGAAGATGCAAACGAAGGGAAGAGCTGGAACGATCCTTTGCTCTGTAGCTCAGGTTCAGACAGCGAAACTTATACAAATGAGAAAGACAAACAGGCGGTTCGGAAACAGAAGAGCTGGAGAAATGATCCTCTGCTTTGCAGTTCGAGTTCAGACAGTGATTCGGATACAGAGTCAATAATATTCCAAGTGAGAGATAATACTGATGTAAATGAAAATGATGTGGAAGTTAAGGATAATAGTGACAAGAGAAATGTTTCGGAAATTGAAAATGTTGATTCAAACCACGAGAAGATTAATGAAAATCAAAATGAAAATGATAAGAGCAATTGTGAGACACCAAATAACAATTACGAAACTATGGTTATAACCGATTCGTCTGATTCAAGTTCTGACAATGACGATGTTCTTATGTAAGTGGAGATGTTTTTTTTTTTTTGATTTTTGAAAAGTATGTTTTTAGTGTTGAGGATGGATCTAAAGAAGAGATTGGTGGAACGAAAGGGCGCAGAAATATCAGGGCTATTTTGAGTGACGATGAACTTAACGAGTTGACTCAACGAGCCAAAAATGAAGAAAATGAGAGAATTATGCGACTGAAAGAACATTCTAAAACGGTAAGTAATTTTGTCTGGGATTTTATATTATATTAAAAAAAAAGTATTTCGAGTCCCTATTATTTAATAATATTTCACCTATTATAATAAAAATGTTTTTAACAATTTTTATCCACAATTCACAAAACCATTTCAGATCGAGCCGATCCAATCCCAACACGATGACTTCGTATTAGACTTTGATGTAAAGAGTGGCGAACCTCTAATCGTTGTAGACCCAAAACTCGCAAAAATGTTGAAACCTCATCAAAGAAGCGGAGTTCAATTCATGTGGGAAGCATGTTACGAATCTGTTAATATTTTAAAAACCATGCCAGGCAGCGGTTGCATTCTAGCTCACTGCATGGGCTTAGGAAAGACCCTTCAAGTCATTACTTTAATCCACACCCTCTTTACGCATCCTGTCACGAAAACAAAACATGTTCTAGTGGTATGTCCACTGTCTACTGTGATCAATTGGAAGAACGAATTTAAGAAAGCTTTCAAACAATTGGATAATCCACCGAACATTTATCCCTATTGGATTATGTCTGTTTTTGGCTATTATTTATTCTTTCACTAATTTCTATTACTTACAGTAAAGGTGATATTAGTGAAAAAATAAGTGTTATACGTACGTGGCGCCAAACAGGCGGAGTTTTAATTCTCGGTTACGACGCTTATCAAATCATAACCAACGAGAAAGCAGCATCTAGAATGACGCCTTTAGAAAGGCAACGGGCAATGGAAGCTCTTGTTGATCCAGGGCCAGATTTAATCATTTGTGACGAGGGCCACCAATTAAAAAACGGTAAAACTCTAAAGACCCAAGCTTTGATGAAAGTAAAAACGAAACGAAGGATTGTACTCACAGGGACACCATTACAAAATAATCTCAAAGAATGTTAGTTTAGCATTTTATGTTAGATATGAATTTCAAATCTTGGATTTTAGATTATTTTATGGTTCAGTTTGTGAAACCTCATCTCTTGGGAACTTATCAAGAGTACATCAATAGGTTCGCTAGTCCGATTGAAAATGGACAGTTTCACGACTCGACCCCTGGAGATATTAAATTAATGAAAAAAAGAACACACGTTCTTACTAAAATGCTCAAAAAGACAATTCACGTAAGTGATTTTTTTATTAATATACAGAATGAGGCATTTCACGCTTGTTTGTTTTTTAATTTGCTTGGTAAAATGACAACAGTAACTTTATTTTTAATTTACAGAGAGTGGAAGCCAGCGTTCTAACAACCTACCTGCCAGAACTCACGGACTATACGATATTCGTAAAATTAACTCCATTGCAAATCGCTCTCTATACCAAGTACATAGATATGGTGACTAGTAGGGTCTCTAATCTGAGTGCAGGATTTTTCCACGACGTTAGAATGACAAATTTCTGCAATCTGCATCCCTACGCTCTCCACTTACACGTAATATATTTTTTAGTTACACTTTTGATATTTAAAATACAAAGACCGTCTTCTACTCCCAATATATAATCTTCAAATTAAAATCGTTAAAGTTTGTTGAGTAATCTCGTTTTTGACACTGTTGTCTCTATCTTGAAAAAATGAACTTTAACGAAGAAACTAAATCAATTCATTAAAAGAAACAAAAATAGGCTCTTAATATTGGGAATTTAGGACTCTAGTCTATTATGTTTTGAACGTGTGTTAAAATCGATTGTTAACAATGAATTAAATTCAGTACAGCAAACCACCCATTAAAAGCAAGGGGAAAATTATAGGACCGATTGAAAATCATGACTGGTACAAAAATTTATTACCTGGAGATATTTCAACGAATATCAATTACAGTACCAAAGTCAAACTTATTTTAGACATAATAAATGAATGTGTGCGAAGCAATGATAAACTGTAAGATTTTCATTTTTCTTGAGTTTTTTTTTTTTTATTTTTTATCATTTCTAGTTTGGTGTTTGGACAATACTTGGTCGAACTTGACCTTCTCGAACATTTCCTGAAACAACAAAAAATAAGCAACTGCAGGAACTGGGCATTAAATGTAGACTACTTTAGGATGGATGGAGACACATCTGTCGAGAATCGTGACATGCTGTGTAAAAAATTCAATTCGGATTCTTCCGCTAAAGTGTTTCTGCTCACCCATAAAGTGGGTGGTCTGGGCTTAAATTTGACAGGTGCTAATCGAGTGATTCTAATTGGGTCGAATCATAATCCTTCTCACGATAGTCAGAGTTTATACAGGGTGTATCGATTTGGTCAAGAAAAGAAATGTTACGTTTACCGACTTGTTTCACTTGTAAGTAATGATTATTTCCTATTTTTATGTTTTAATTTTTGATTTGATTAGGGAACCATGGAAGAGAAAATTTATCACAGATGCGTATTGAAATTGTCTTTGTCTGGTACTGTTGTCGACAAGTTACATTTCGATCGTCATTACAAAGCAAACGATTTGCAAGAAATGTACATACATGATTTTTCTAAACACTGCGATAGACCCATACCAGCGGTACCAACTGATATGTTGATGGCAATGCTGTTAAAAAATAGTTCCGATATCTACAGTTACCACTTGCATAATGCTTTATTAGAAAACCGACCTGAGGAAGAACTGACTGATGAAGATAAAAAGTTGGCTTGGGACGAATTTAACAATTTAGCAGAAGCGGCAAGTATGTGAATTGTTGTTTTTTTTCTTTTATGTACATAGTTTATTTTTCATTTCTCCACTTAGAACATGTAACAAATGCACGTACTAATATACCCTTACTAAAAAATCCTATAACGGACGTTGAAATTTTCCCTGTAAATTTAACTTACCCATATAACCGTTTTGGACAGTATTGTGGACCCACCAACAAAAGTAAAACTCCACAATTTTTGTTTGTTTCTAGGAACAAATGCACCCAATATGCCAAATCTAGTACTTAATCCTATGAGTACCATCACAAAGGGTTTTGCACCGTAAGTACAGAAAATGGTTCATAATTATCTAATTACATTTATTTTATAACCGTAGAAAAATTCAAGGAACCTCTGCTTCAAATAATCCATTTGTAAATTTGCTTCTTGGTCACATTGGACTTGAAAGTGATGATTTAAAAAAGATTATGAAAGACCGATATAAATTAGCGCTAACACAGTCTAAACCACCCACTAACGGTGAGTTTAATTACACATTGAATAAAATTGTTTGATTTTATTGTACATTGTCTTAATTCTTAATTAATTTGAAATGATTTTTGATAATAAAGATGTATTATTTGTTTCTTGTCTTGATATTATATCAACCGAGATTTTGCAATTTATAAAATTGGTTGACATTATTATAAGAAGACAATTTTTGATATTCTATTGTTGCTGAGTAATTTTTCGAAGCGATTGGATTACAATTTGAAAAATACATTTTGTAACATAAAAAGTACAAATATTAAAACTGATTGCATAAAAATTAAACCCTGAAAAGAAAAAGGTCAAGAGCGTCCGTCTATTTAATGAAAGAAAAGGTTGAACGCAACATATTTGTTTTCTTTATTGGAAAAACTGTGAGTGGAAATTGCAAATAATTTAACAAACACTTTTGACGTAGAAAAATTAACTTTATTTAAAAAATTGCTTTACACGAAGTTTATTCAGTGGCGTCCTCCTTGGGTACACCGAAAGGCTCCTCTACAGTTTCAGCCCCAGAATCGGCGATTACCACATCTTTTGAGGGCTTATCGCGACCATCAGTCTTAGTATTTTCAATCTTGCGTACAACATCCATGCCTTTCAGCACTTTCCCAAAGACGACATGTCTTCCATCCAACCACGAAGTCTTCTTTGTGGTGATAAAGAACTGAGATCCGTTGGTGTCTTTCCCGGCGTTGGCCATGGAGAGCCATCCAGCTCCATAATGCTTGAGCTTGAAGTTTTCGTCTTCGAATCGTTCGCCGTAAATGCTGCGGCCTACATAAAAACCGAATTAAACTGAATTAGGCAACAATGGAGTACTAACCGCCAGTTCCGTCGCCTTTAGTGAAGTCTCCGCCTTGGATCATAAAATCTTTGATCACGCGATGAAATTTGCTCCCTTTGTATCCTTCGCCGACGGACTTCTGGGCCAATTCCTTAAAATTCTGCACTGTCTTGGGAACGGTTTTGCCGAAAAGGCCGATTTCGATGCGACCGACAGCTTCATCGCCGATTGTTATATCGAACCAAACCTAGGTTGTTTTAGAAATTAATGGCAAAATCAAGCGTGTTGGCGTACCTTGTCGGTGACTTTGGGGCCTTTTTTGGCTTTGTCGTCCTCGCAATTCGCAAAGGCACAAAGGGCGATTATGGCACAACACAGGATGAGCTTGCGATGCATCGCGGTGGACGTATGTATATACTGAACAAAGAACCGGTGTTGAAATGTTAATAACCTTCGTTGCAAACACCTCTCAAGTAAGACGAATAGGAAACGGCCACGAGATAATCGTGATAGGTCAAAAAAAGATGATGTCAAAGCCACGCAAATGGAAATGTCAGTTCACTGTCAGTTGTCTTTAACTTTTTGAGGTTACGCGGGGGTGGGGGTTACGGTGGGGAATCGAAAATATACCGAATGACTTAATTTTTGTCGACAGTTGGCTACAAGTTTGAAATCTTAATTTGGCAACCATTCCTATTAAATATAGCACGTTTTAATTTAAATACAGAATGTTTTAGCAGTTTTATGGCTCGGATAGGATTGAAAGAAAGACCTATTCTGTCGTGTCAATATATTTATATGATGCATAAAATTTAAAACTTTTTTACACAAAAAAAACTTAGTATATTAAAAAAAATGACAATAAAATTGCCAAATTAAATACAGGATGTGTCAGAACTCGTGCCCCAGAGAAAAATTTCAAGATAGGATACCAGGAATATGGACAAAATGTTAAAAAAAAATTATCTGGCAAAAAATTTTGACATTTGACTTTTTTAATTTCTATTTAATGATACTGATGATCTCGTATATGTTTTTTTTATAATTATTTATTAAAGGCACAAAAATTTTGCCAATAAAATCCACAAAATAATATTAAACAGAGTTACAATTTAGGATACAGCTTCCTTGTTTCCTCTTTTAATAGCCTGTAGCAAAGAAACTTCATTTTTCATGTTTCCAACAGAAATAAATATAAGAGTCAAAGTGCAAAACTGAAACTTTCATAACTTCGAAATTTCTATAAATAGAATTTTTTTAACATTTTTCCATATTTAACTAAATTTAGCAACTCTTTTTTCAAATAATAAATTTGCATGTTTCATTAAGTACCTATTTATTAAAATCGTTCATTAATAGGGATTATTAACGCATGATTTCATATACATTAATAAACAGACAACAGAAAAATGTACTAATAAATGAATGTAATAAATTAACCAAACTTATAGTCTTCAATAAACTGTAGTATTTTTAAATTATCATATTCATCTTCCAGTTGTCTTCGCTTCCTGCCAATAAACGCAGTGGCAGTCGTCCCATTCATCATTGTTACATTAGAAGTTTTATTTTTAAGGGCTTGAATAAGCTTCTAAAAACCGTAATTTATAAATTTCCACATTAAGCAATATAAAAAGCGCTCACCAAAACTAGTTTAATAAGAAAAACAGCAAAGGTCAGAAATCCGATCGTCATCAAAGCCCCTTCATTTGACGGAAAATCCATTTCGTGGTCGTCATGTCCTCGAGCCTCCACTAAATCATCATCTGATGTTCTCCACAGACTTCCCATACGTTCGTCTTTTATGGAAAAAAAAAATAGAAATAAAAATAGAAATTGTGTAACTTACCGATGTTTACTAATAAATTGTCTCTCAAATTGGTAAGCAGTGAAATTTTGCTTTTGAGGGACTTTTTAGCGCTGTGAGTTAAAGTTTCTTGGATGGTGTTCAAGAGAGGCATAAATCCAGAATTAATTTCTTCAGTTCTGCTTTTTGTTTTATTTGCTTTGCTTGCAGATTTTGGTGCCTCTGTAAACTCTTCCGGTGCCTTTAAAGTGTTTTCAGTTTTGGGATTCATTCTTCTGCTTATTTGAGGAGTCGTTGTTAGGGGTTGAATAGTAGTCATTAAGTCTTTGTAATTTGGAGTAGTCGTACTATGAATTTTTGGTGTTGTTTTTAACAATTTATAAGTAGCGGGTGTGGTTGTTGGAAACTTTTTATTGTGAAAACTGACTTTAGGGGAGCCTAAAAGCGAGAGTAAATTTCGAACAGTTAACTTTGTGGTGCTTACCAAAAACAAATTGGGGCGATTTTTTGTTGGCCAATTGAGGGATTTCCACCCAAGCACTTTTTACTGAGTTTGGGTAAATGAATTCAAAAATTAAATTCACTACTAGTAGGTGCCACATTTCTAGGTGGTGTAAAATCTCGCACTGAGATCATAAAACTGTTAAGTGTGACATTGTTTAGAACTTAGAGCAGTTAGATTCTGTTAGAACTCTTATGCAAAATCTTGGAGCAGAAAATCGCTTGATGGAACTAAGTGGAACTTGCAAAAAAAATATTCCTTACTGCTTGTTGCCTGTTGGTGTTTCCGACTTTTTGCAAATCTTATACCAAATTATTTAATTGTTGAATTTTTTCAATTTGCATGCACTAGTTCGTTTTTTACTGTCGTCTTGAAATTTTGGATCTGTGCTTACGCGTCTGTAATTCCACTGGAGTTAAGAACTTATCTTCTAAAGGGTATATTATGTAATATTCATGATAAGAAATGTAAAGAAAAAGAAAATAAATAAGTATTTATTTATTAGGAATATTTGTATACAAAATTACAAGGAAAAATTAAATACACAAATACAAACGTGTGTAAAAATGAAAGACATCATTTCTGTATCGTAATGTAGAAGCTTGTAACCATTGAAAAATTACGAGTAAATTATTATCCTTTGTATTATACTATTACGACAGAAGATTCAGTATATGTTTGATGAACAATTTGTGTTCCTAGTTCGTCAATGCAGGGAAAAAGTTTGTGACTATCTAATTTGTTTTTTGAGTTTTATCGAAAATGTTTTATGTGTTATGCCAACATCTCAAATTCAACTTTTTGATTAAATTTTAACAATGTTATTTGTACATTTTAATGTCGTTGTCTTTTAACCGTAATTTTCCCATACATACAAATTTAGCTCTTTAGCGTCTTCCCTTTTTTCCTTTTTACTTTTCTGTACAGTTCTTGCGACAGTTGTATTATGATTACTTCTCTCCCACTTATTTTTCGTTACTTATTTTTTTTTCACGTTTTCCTTAATTTTTTCGTAAAAAATTTCTCAATTTCTCCAAATTTAAATGAAATTATTTTGTCTTGTTTTCCTATTCACAATTACTTTCTTCTGACATTTTCTTCTTTGAGTGAATTTTTCGTGTGGCTCTTCGTAAACTTACATTTTGCTAACTGCCCCCAATCTATTAAAGTGTAACAGTTTCCTTTTCGTTGTGGCAGGAAGATGGTCAAATATCTTTTACTTGTCCTTTCTTGTATTATGAGAAAAAGAAAGCCACCATCCTTTTTCACATTTTAACACCGATGGCTTAACCAACTGAAATTCTTGACTTCTCTCTTTAGTAGTGAAGGATTCACCCTGTACTTCTCTTAGCATCATTCTTTCTTCATACAACGTTGGCGATGCAGATCACAATGACGAATCTTGGTTCTTTGGTTCAAAAGTTGATAATTTATAATCCCGCGTTTCCACCTGCGACGAAGTCTTACGCGTATTGTTCAGTAATTCAGATTTCTAAAAATCAAAGTATATAACAATGTGAAACACAAACACATGAATTTTAAATTCTCACCTATTAAAATTTCACATTGGTTAGGTCTGCTGACTGAAAATTACATCAAACACGCTTCTGCTATGACGAAAAAAATCATCTGCGTAGTTTTTTTTCCTTTAGACCGATGATGATCAGTTCATTTCATCTTTTCTCTTTCTTTATCCCATTAATTCTCCTTTTGTCCCCTGTACATCAACGATATTGACAAATTCTTTCGCTAAACAACTTGCTACGTAAGTCGACTACCCATGAAAAATCCTTTTCATTTTATAGATACAATAGAAGTCATTCGTTTGTTTTGTCGATCTGTAAATAGAAAATCTTTAACACAAATTTTAAACATTACGAAATTTCACGTACCAACAGTACAGTTAAGTTTCTTTCGTTGACAGTGACGTTTCTTCTTCTTTTTATATCCACTACAACGACAAATTCTCCCCTGTTTTAGCATACGGTAAAAATTTATTTGTTCTTACAAAGGAAAAAACCTTATTACTTTCGCTTTGGAAGAACAAATCCTTTTATTTCATACGAAATTGGATGTTTTTTTGTATTCTTTACTTCTACTTCTGCTTCCTGTGGCGAAAAATCCTATTTTTTTTTACTAGCAGTAATTTTCTTCTTTTTGTGAAATATAGCACTTGCGAATACTCCTCTTTTTTCGTTTCCGGTGATGACTTATTTCCATTTTCTTCATTCTTAAATGACAAACCCCTTTTCTTCATACGAAACAATGATTTGACATGACGACGAATTCATTTTTATCGTTTTCACTAAAAGAAAAAAAACCTTTTCATGTTTTGCTTTCTGGTGGTCGAAAGTCTTCTCACTTATTTTTCTATCGTTAATAGTAATTGTCTTCTCTATTCATTTCCGACAATAACAAATCAAGTGAAGATAAATCTTAGATTTCATCATGGGGGTTATGAAAGTTTTCCTTACTTCCTTCTTCATTACTAACGCCACAAATATCCTTTCATCATTTGACGACGACGAATTTCCGAATGAATAAATAAGTTTCCCTCATCTTTCCCCTTCTTTTCTCCCAGCGACGATACAACATTTCTTTATTGACTACTTATGATATTCTGTAACCTGTTCTTTTTTCATTTTTGGGATGCCGAATTATTTCTTTTTTCGTTCCTGGACTGATCTTGTTTATTATGCTGCTGCAACAAAAAATATTTTCATTGTTCCTCTGTAAATAAGAAATAAAATTAGTATTGAACATAAATTCAACAGAATTATTACGCACCAATTAATAAAAATTGGGCGACTCATCCTGCAACGCCTAGCCTGTGGTAACTTTCTTCATTTTCATTTAAGCTGTAAAATATTGAACCTACTTATATCCAATTTCCCAAATCATAAATGGATTACGAAATAATAGAAAAGACCTCTTTTTGTAAAATAGATACCATATATAACCCAACGCAAAATACTCTATTGAAATAAAAGTTTCTGTTTTTCTGCCGACGACTCATCTTCTCTTCCTTCTTCACTTTTTATCGACGACGTATCCTTTTCTTTCTTCATCCCTCGGCAACAAGTGGTCCTCTTCTTACTTCGTCCCTAGGCAGCCCGTGGTCCTCTTCTGGCTCTTCTTTACTTCATCTCTCGGCAACAAGTGGTCCTCTTCTTACTTCGTCCCTCGGCAGCCCGTGGTCCTCTTCTGGCTCTTCTTTACTTCATCTCTCGGCAACGAGTGGTCCTCTTCTTACTTCATCCCTCGGCGACGAGTGGTCCTCTTCTGGCTCTTCTTTACTTCATCTCTCGGCAACGAGTGGTCCTCTTCTTACTTCATTCCTCGGTGACGAGTGGTCCTTTTCTCGACAGCCAGTAGTCCTCTTCTTGCTTCAAGCCTGGGCGGCAAGTGGTCCTCTTCTTACTTCATCCCTCGGCGACGAGTGGTCCTATTCTTTATTCATCCCTAGGCGACGAGTAGTCCTTTTCTCTCTTCATCCCTCGGCAGCCAGTAGTCCTCTTCTTTCTTCAAGCCTCGGTGACAAGTGGTCCTCTTCTTATTTCATCCGTCGGCGAAGAGTGGTCCACTTCTTTATTCATTCCTCGGCGACGAGTAGTCCTTTTCTTTCTTCGTCCCTCGGCAGCCAGTAGTCCTCTTCTTTCTTCAAGACTCGGCAGTAAGTGGTGCTTTTCTTACTTCATCCCGCGGCGGCGAATAGTCCTCTTCTTACTTCATCCCTCGGCGGCAAATGATCCTCTTCTTTATTCATCCCCCAACATTAAGTGGTCCTCTTCTTACTTCATCCTTCGACGGCGAGTGGTCCTCTTCTTTATTCATTCCTCGGCGGCAAGTAGTCCTCTTCTTACTTCATCCCTCGGCGGCGAGTGGTCCTCTTCTTTCTTCATCCCTCGATGGCGAGCTGTCTTCTTTCTTCATCCTTCGGTGGAATATTCCTTTTCGTTCTTCGTCCCCCAGCGGTGAGTAGTCTTCTTCATTCTTATTCCCTTGTCAGCGAAAGGTCCACTTCTTTCATCCTCTTCTTTCTCATCCCGTTGTCGAAAACAAATTGACTTTTTTCTTCTCTATCAATGGCGACAAATTCTCTTCTTTTTCTACCCCTCCGGCGATTTCAAACCTTCCTTCGCCCTTCGTCGGCGATAAATTCTATTCTTTCACCTACAGAAGATATTTTCTTCTGCTGTGAACAAAAAAAAACAGGTTAGTACTATTTACATAATACCAACCGAAAACAATTACTTACCTTTAAATATAAATGGTCGGGCCATCCTGCAAATATGTTGATTTCTGTTGGAAGATGACGTCCTCTTTTTCTAAAAATCATTTAAATTCAATGCAAAATGTAGTTACTTTTTATTCAGATAAATAGCGGCAGTGACGCTTCATTCGTCGTTTCGTTTCTCTCTTCTATTACTATTCTTCGCCTATCTTCTCTCTTCAGTAAGTTACATCTTCAAATAGTATTTTTCATTCTTCTAAGCTCCTTTGTAATTTTTTCCATTTCCGTAATTTTCCTTGTAACCAAATCTTACTGTAAAACAAATTCATTAAAAATAAAGCATATCAGCATTTCACACCATTACCCTTCAAAAATGCCAACACACAAATTTTCTAGTCGATGTTTAAAAATATGACGTCCATTATACCAAACAAAAATTCTTAATTTCTTTAAAAACCACTATCCAAAAATTTGTCGTTCTCAAAAAATTAGACTCCAATCGTCTTCTGCAAAATGCATCTAATAATTCGCTGAAGTTCTTATAATACTTGGTTGTTAAAACATTGGAGAGTACAAAAGGTAGACGATTCTTTAGCTGATCGGAGCCAGGAAGAATTTTTATTTGGAAATGAAACTATGCTACGTCATATCTGCAATCAGAAAACATTAAAAAAAAAATTTTAAACATCTGTGACGTACCTTGTTATTGTGGTTATAACACCATACCTAAAATTCTTCACCTACTACAAAATGGATTTCGTTAAAAATACATATCTACTTCTTCACAAATTTTATTTTTAAACGCTTAAGTATTTCATTTGTTACATACTCCAATCTCGACTAACAAAATAAATTACGTTTTGTATTTTTTTGTCAAAATAACAATGCGATTGGTCCTCGTACCCAAAGCAAAGTCTTGCAATCCAGCTTTGTATCTTGCAAAAAAAAAAACTATAAAAATACTAACAACAAACTTGTAGCAAATATATTTACCTTACAAAAAAACTTCGCGTAATAAATGTATTTCGAAGTGGATCTTCTCCTGTAGGGTGTTTGGGTCAAAAGTGATGGAGGATTTCTGTGACGAAAACCATGTGGAAATGGTTGGTTGTAATTCCCGTTGAGTATTTTTCGTACAATTAAAGTCTATCACTCAGTGAAAGAAAATCTATTGTCGAAGATATTTGTATATTCCATCCCGTCATTTCCCGCGAATTGTATTGTGTAGGGTAGGTACCTCGCTTAAGATTGTTAAAATTCGTATGGGTAATTTTCGCAACAGTAAAAAAAAATACAAATCATAAGTCACCATGGTTTTAACAGTTTTTAACTGTTGTTACTTCTCCGTTCGGATTCAAAACTTATTGTCGATAATGGAACGAAACGAAAATTGTCTTTCTTCGTGGGAATGAACAATCATGATTTTTTTAAGTTAGTAAAGACCAGATACTCCGGTCCTCCGGTCCAAAATGTCGTTTTCTTGTTACACTTTAAATAATATTGTCGAAATAACGCGGTTGAATTCTTGAAGTCTCGAAAAAGAACTTGCAATTTCGGAGAATGGCAGTTGCTTAAGCTTTCCGTAACAATATCGTCAATTGTGAATGAAACAATTTGCAAATTTGGTCGATGTAATGAAACACTATTTCACAGAATATTTGAAACTTCTTTTGAACTAACATGTTTTTTTCATAATTGCTTCCGGACAAAGGAATTGACAATCCACACACTTCTAGAGCAACCATTGGTAGGTTATGAACGAGTATACAAATCGGTGTTACTAATTTGCGAAGATACGTAATTTGGAACAAGAAGAAATTTCAAATCAAGTTCCACAAGCAACAATAAAAGATATTTCCAAATAAATACATACAATTCGGTAACTTCATGAAGTTGTACAGTTTTGAAGAGTAGATTAGTTTTCTTTACATTTGGATGTTGTATGTTGTTCATGTTAGACTTTTTAGTAATCCTCTTCAATCATCGTCCGTTTGAAATCTTTCAATTTTAGCCTGACATTCTCTTGCTTTTTTAGAATAATTTCTTTCTACACATTAATTCTCCTCTTTCCTTGCTTCCAACGCTAAATGAAGATATTCTTTCTTCTTTTTTCTGACTTTCCTCTTCTACTTTCGTCCGTTTACTCTCTGTATAGCAAGCCTTCGTTTTCCAATTTTGTCTCGACATATTCTGTTCATTTCTAGAGTTCGCTCTTGCTTTCTTCCAACGCTGATTGAAGATAATCCCTCTTCACAAAATTTTTCTTGATCTTGCTTGTTTTCCTTGGCATCCTTTCTTCTCAAAAACTTCCAGTCCTGTTCCTTTTTCTCACATTCCTCCTCTTCATCCATTCACTATCTGTACAGCAACTCTTCGTGTTTCCAATTTTTACTAGATATTTTATGTTAATCTTTTTCTAGAGTTCACTTTTGCTTTCTTCAGACGCCGCATAAAGATAATTCCTCTCATTTTTTTATCCTGCTTGTTTTCCTTTCACGATACATGGCATCCTCCCTTTTTAAAATAAACTATTCTGCTTCATTTTTCCACCATCCAGCGAGCCTCTTCTTTACTTAACCATACTTAAGAATGCTTTCAACAACGAGAATCCCTTCATTTTTCACCGAAATCTTCACCTTTGTTAATTATCGGTTTCCAAATGGAACTCCCCATTCGCGCTAAAAAAGTACTATAAAATTTGACTTCCTTTGATTTTTTAATTCCTACCAGACTAAGAAATCCAGATCAACTATCTTTTGAATCCACAAGCAACCAAAAGCAGTTCTAATCCCGAACTATCATAACAAAAAAAAAAAAAAGAATGCAACAAATTCCATCGATTAGGGGCGTAGAAAAATACCGATTAGTGTACAAATGTGTATTGGGTCCTATCTTCGGCCAATTTCTGTTCATCCAGTTTCTTCTTTAAGATGCTATTTTAAAATGCATGTTATAACAAGATTAAAAAAATTACCTCAAAGCTGTTCCTCCTTATAACTTTGATTTAAAAAATGCTGAACTGTTTTAAGAAAGGGGGGGCATAACAAAAAATTATGAGTAGGTAAACTAGAAAGCCGACTCCAGACTTTTTTACAAAATCGTTGGAAAACATCATTGTTTTTGTTCTGCAACTAGTTTTACTTTTCACACTAGATATGCACTGACCTGCGCTAAGATATTAAGCGGCACTTATTTGTTGGTACCCTTTGTGAGTTTGTAAAGCGCTGCGAAGGTTCTAAAGTTGTTTGTCCTATTTTTGATACGTAAAAGTATATGATTCCTAATAAAAATAATCGTTTTTATTGTTCTGTTTATAAATCCTTAGTGAGCTTTGATGTAGAACGAACGATGTTTTTGTATTCTAAAATCAGGTCCGACAATTTCTGGTATTTCATCAAATACTTAATGTATAATCCTTTTGTGGACAAAACCGAATACGACAATAGCAATTAGCGTTTCCTTTCGAGGATTCCATTAACTTATAGTTGTAAGACGAAAAATCCAAATTTCCACCGTTTGACTAAATAGCTGGTTTTTTCAATTGGAGTTCTTGGAAGGCCTTAGTCGGTTGCATGCTGCCGTTTCTCAACCGTTACAACTTGGTATCTAATATGCGCAACTTTAATCACCTCTATAAAATATCATCGTTTGTAACAAGACAAGAGATAAACTGATACTCAATGAACGATGAAAATGTTTCAACTTGTTCCTTGTAGTAATTCTCGGACGGAATTCATTTTTTACAAATTCTGCAAATGATTCATTTTTCTTTAACTATTAAATACCTGGATCACGGACTACGTTGTGTAGTTGGTTGTCAACTTTCAGAGATTAAACGGTGAGAAATGGGAATAACGCACTTGTTTAAAGACGAAACTTGATGAAGTACATACGATTCCAGTTTCTTTCGGTGATACGATCTAATATTAATAATAATCATCTACAACTTTCACTTTAACACAAACAGTAAATAAAATAAAATGATACTCTGGTGTTTGCATTGTTGAAAAATTATACTTCGTTACGAATAATCATGAATCACGATAAAGCGGTGGAAAAATGGGAATACCGCGCTTGTTTAAAGACGAAACTCTTGAGAGTGCTTTTCTTTATCTCTGGACCTGATGAGGTTTATACGACTACTGGTTGATGTCAGCTTCTTTCGGTAATTAAATCAATAATGATCTACAACTTTCACTTTGACACAAACAGTAAATAAAATAAAATGATACTCCGGTGTTTGCACTGTTGAAGAATTATGCTTTGTTACGAATAATCACGATTCACGATAAAGCGGGGGGAAAATGGAAATACCGAGCTTGTTTAAAGACGAAACTCTTGGGAGTGATTTTCCTTATCTCAGGATCTGATGAAGTGTATACGACTAGTGGTTGATGTCAGCTTCTTTCGGTAATTACGATCTAATATCAATAATAATCTAAAACTTTCACTTTGTCACAAACAGTAAATAAAATAAAATGATACTCCGGTGTTCGCACTGTTGCTTCGTTACGAATAATCACGACTAGGAAAAGAAATATTTCGAAAAACTTCTGTTACAATTCAACTTTCATAAAACTTTCGATACTTGCAAAATTGCGGTTTCCACGTTCAAAATCCTTTTTAATTGTTGCATTCGTTATTTAACACGATGCAAACATCTTCATTTAAATACGTGAAAGACGACCCGAAACGCAGTATCAGTGTTGTTCTTGTGATCTTCTAGAAAAGGGATAAAAATCCAAATAAGTTACGAATACTTGCGACTTTTTTTGATTATTTTGCACCAATCGATATTCCCAACGTGCTGGACTGCGAAAGGGTAAGATCGTCTTAGACTATCTGTAAACAGCGGGTTTTGACATCGCAAAATTTATAAATCAAATGATACTATTCGGTGTCCTAATCCTAATAATGCGTTAGTTAGGCTTAGTTTCCTACTTTGCGCAATGGAAGCGACGAAATTTCTTTTCAGGTTTTATATGTATTGTGTATACAACAGAATTTCTCGAAACTTCAAGCTGGCTGCGTTATAGATGCTTTTCTGGAACTACTGTCTTTGATATTGCGCACAACACAAAAATTAATACTATATTCAAAACCCGAAACCTGTTGCACAAAGGTTAAAATAGAAAAACGCTGAATTCTAGGAGTTCTGACGATGTAGAAAAAATTCGCATCTTATACTTTCCTTCTTCTAAGTCCAACTCGTCCGAACTTCTCAAATTATTTTCACTTAAATTTCGGAAACACACCGCTTGAATTTGACTGCAAATATTCATACGTAACGTAACGTCCTCTACAAAAAAAAGTTGATACCACGTAAATAATATGGGAAAGATGTAAAAATAAAGTCTTCATGCTGAAACGAATGATGCGAGGACAGAAACGGGTAATTTTCTCTTTTGATCTTGTCTCTAAAATGACGATTCTTTTCAAACTTCCTTCTAAACTTAAGCTATTTTTTTGTAAAAACACATACTCCTAACAATGTCATTTTTGTATATTTTTCTATACTTGCGCCCTTATGATATGATGAACTGCGACAGCTTTTGTAATCAATCACGAAAATGTTCTTCATAATTCCTCTACAAATCACTTTTAGATTTTTCATCTTATTACCTATTACTGCTATGAGTCGTTGAACTTTTTCATAAACCCTTCTTGCCTTGGTTGAAGAATTGTACTAAATGTAAATTTCGGAAACTATTGTTGATTACCTAATCCCAGGCTAGAACCTCGTTGAAGTACCAAGTAATAAATCTGATTCCTGATGGTACTTGGATTTAAGTACTTGAAGCTGATACAATTCTAGAAGGTCTTAATTGTAACACCGGTAACACAACTAACTGATACTTGGCTTGTTTATGAAATGATAACTTCAGTAATGGTCCAGAAAAAGTTGGTTGTCCCTTGGTGTCAGCAGATATAGTAAAATAAAGGTAATAAGAAGTTTACAGCAATTCCCTTTCAGTATTCTTCGGTTAAAACGATGAAACTATGCGATTGAGGATCTAGAAATTCAAGGGATTTCGCACACACTAAATTTCGAAAAAATGAGCTGCCTCGTGAGCTTGAGCATTTTTTATATTTGAATTTCCGCTTTCTAAATTTTTATCGGCCACAACTACTACAAAAACTTATCGTTTACTTATCTTGTTATATGGCTGTCATTTTCTCACATAATGTAGGGCATACAAATTGTATGAGTAATATTGTACCTGTGCATCACGATGATCCAACGATATTATTGAATTTGAAAATTTTCGATGCAAAGTTTTATTCCGACATGAAAAAAGATCCGCTTCATATTTTATGTACCTGATAATACTCGACCGGAAGTCTTGAATTATCTTGCCTTTGTTTTCAAATTGACGAACTACCTTGTTCCATGAAATACTTCTCGAATTTGTAGGTCGGTTGAGAAAGCAAACCTCATATTGAGAAATGTTAAAAGTGAAATGACTTCGAAACTTTCACGCCTGACTTGGTGGGTGGTATTTCAACAAACTTGCGCAAAATCAGTAGTAATGTTGATCCTCGTTAAGAGATTTTGTGTGTACTTATGATAAAATGTTATATTGACTAAATTACGAAGTCCAAGGTGAAACTTTCTTCATTATACGGGAAGGCTATCTGCAAATATTCGTAACAAGTCGCACAATAATCCATTACCTCAGATGATGACATTCCTTAATATCTTCAGATGGATATTACCGTACGTTAAAAAAAATTTGATTTCATCAATTTTATTGTCCTTCCTGAAAAACATTTACATGGCAAAATTTACGACAAAATTTTCCAGATGCGTGACTCCTTGTCCTCTTGTATTTCATCTTCATTTAATAAAAAATTGTAAATTTAATTACTTTAGTTACGAACATTTGCATTTTTAGATTAGCCAAATTATAACGAACTTTATCCTTACTTTTTGAAAAATCAAAGATATTTATCAAAAGTGAAAATTTAATTAATACTGTCTTCTTTACACCTCCTAAAAACGTACGTGATGTGGATTTGAGTACGAATACCTGAATCCTGCGAACTGATGCTTTTTCCTCCTTACTTTAATTAAATTGAATTTTCTATTATTTCCCGCAAGACGGAATTTAACATTTGTATGTACGTAACTTGAAGTATAAGATTAAAGCATGCAAATAGCTTCTTTGTTTTACCGCAGTCCTCAATTAAAAAAATCATCAGCTGGCCGCTTATGACCAGGAGCAGCTACTTCTCGGATCTTGCTTACATGATCACAATGACCTGACAAAATAACGAAAAACAACTCCAAAACAAGCCACTCATGTGGCGGTTACAAGTTAGGACCAAATGGTACTTTACCGTTACTCGAACATCCGCAGAGAGTACGTGTGCAGTACGTCCACCAAAGTTCGAGCAAGTAACGGAAAGTGTGCTTCCATTTCCTCTTGTGATTATCGACAATTACGAACTAGATCGTTGGCAGCTTTGGGAAACTGGAGAAGCTTCACTGCCAACCTACAGGAAAATATTCATCCACTAGCATTCATCCATGCATAAGACTGGAGCACCGCTGTTACATAATTTGTGAACTCCATCTCTTAGCGCCATTCAATGATGTTCACAAAAAATTAACGAGTGGTGGTGGAGTACAAGGGGTAGAAAATGTCAAGGAACGATACTTCATGGGTTTTACCACTCATGTGCCGCCCTAGCCGTCTTTAGCGCAATGTGCATTCAACTCAGCTTTAGGTGTTCAGTATTATGGGGGACTAACGGTCGCTTTCGAGTCGATAGGTACCGTAACCAGCAGGCCTTCTCCTCTCACATGTAAATTCAAAATAATTAGTATACAGGAATAACAGGAGCAGAACAGTAATGCTACAAACTGGTTGTCTTTTTCTTTCTTTTTTTTTATTAATTCAATTTAAAAAAGTTCAATTCTTTACATAAATATATTCAACTGTATGTATATGATTCAACCTAAAGTTAATTTGTACATAGAGTTAGTGATACATTACAAACCAAAAACGGGCACAATCCTGGCAATCAGGTTCGGACAGTAGGGCCCCCCCAGGTGACTGTAACGAAAAAACTCCATAAAATCACAGAATATTATCACATCGATCTTCTAAACTATGCAATCAATTCAAGCTTTCGAAAATTGCACAAGTTTCATCTGGGACATAAATTGGTCTAAACTACTGTTGACTTCTTGGCAGACGGTGTCATCCCATCGTACATCATTCGAATTATCTATCTTCTGTGCAGCTTTGGCCTTGATGAACTCCCACTTCAGTCTTCTCTCTTGTTGCTTCATTTTTAATTCAGTCTCAGCCCGCGAGAGGGCGCTCGATAAAATAGCCTGAACGAGGAGATTTCTACGCTTTTGTAGTTTACAATTTGTTTTCTTGAATTTTACTTTACTAATCCAATCACACAATGAATTAACTGTGGTTTCTTTGTTGCCAACCGAGCAACCCATAGGTTGTTTTTTTCGAAATTTTTTCAAAATCTCCTCTTATCAGCGCTTTTAAATGAAATCTATTGCTAACACACCTGCTTTTCAGTCTCAAAAACGCAGATATTGTCGTATTTTTCGGCCAGAGAACGGGAACGTAGTGCTGCACTAACTGCACTCCTCACTCTTCGGCAATCACCACAAAATGGCGATGGCGGATGACGTCTACGCTTTTATATAGAGGTCGCGACAGAAATTGTAATCCTACGCCGGGAGTGGAAAAGTAGTACTGCACATTTTTTTTATTTTTCGCAGAAACTGAATCCCAAATTTGATTTAGCCTGGGACACAGGGTAACTACTGTTGAGGGTCAATGATCTAGCAAATAAAAAGTTCTTACAATTATCGGTTTCGTAAAAATCTGCCCCAAATTTGTTGGCGGAGACTTGCATGGAGTCTGTGTGACGTCATCAAAAGTTCGGGCATTTTCCACGTAATTTTATTGATCTGTTGAACTGTTTACGCGAAAATTCTCTTATTTATTTGGTAAAAGACCAAATGTGAAAACATTGTTCTTATTTGTATTTAATTTGTGTCCAAGACAATCCAATTAATTTCAGTTTGAATAAATATCAAAGGATTAATTACTTCCAACATTTCGAGTGTATTTTTTGTTTACATTTACAATCGAATTGCTTAAATTCTAATTTAAATCATTTTTCTAATAGAAAATTACCTCATTTAACTGTTTTATTGTAATTGATTAGATTATGTTAATCATGAAAAGTTCCATAAAAATAGATCATCTGGATTTTCTATTTTCGGGGTAGGGGCAAGTTAATAGTTAATTCAATTTATGCTTATTTAAGCCGTTGGAATAATAACTAACAAAATGAAGCAGGGATAATTAATTAGGTTATTTTAATCTGTTGCTTATAAATAAAAACAATATCATGTTTATATTTTTTAAATTTATTTATTCATTTCACAAACAGTTTACAATTTTGTAAAAAATATACAAAAACAAACAAGAAAGAGTTCATGTTTATTTGAAAAATCACGTCTCCCAATAGCGAAGACCAGATGCTCTTGATAGCAGAAGTTTCTGAAAAAAGTAAAAAAAAAACGTTAAAACATCGGGAATCATATTGCGCATAATATGTTTCTATAGAACAATAAAAATTCAGCGTCACACTTTCTTGGTCGCCCTAACTAACGGTTTTTATGAATTGTTTACCAGTGGCGGCGTGGAAATCCGTCACTTCACTCACTTCTAATAAGTCTGTTTCGAAACATTGTTTATTATTGTGATAATGTAAAGTGATAACAAATGTATTTTGATGATAGATATTTCTGGAATTTATTTATATTAATTTTATATTTTAACAATAAAAAGACCTAGATTTCAATTTGAATCTAGCCGCCAAAGCTTAGGTTTTTTTATTAAAATGTTTACTCAACAGACATTTTTTTTAATTTAAAAATAACATCTGAATAACATCTGCTCCTATGTATATTAAAATGCATATAGTGCCGCCAATGATCCTTGCTAACTTTAAACATGGGCAAATACTTGAACTTTCGTTTCTCTTCTCACCTTGAGGGGAGATAATGCATGGGTCGCTTGTAGTCCCAAACTTCTCAGAAGGACAAGAGGGGTGAATTCTGTACTGTACAAATGGAAAAGTCCATGAACAACAAGCATCATGGGAACGTTGTATTTCTGCCGTTCCGTTTCGTATTCTTTGAGATACAATAAGCTACCTGAGAATTATTCAATAAAAAATTCAATTTTCATTTTTCTCTTTCACAATTAAAATATTGTATTTATAAACGTGTTTTATACCGACTTACCCATTTTGCTACCTGAGTAAACGGCTTCGCCCAAAATTCTGTTCAAACAAATGATATCACCGAAACCCAAATTTACTCCTTGACCTGCTAGGGGGTGTATCCTATGAGCTGCATCGCTGAAAAAAATTTTTTGTTTAATTTATTTAGAAAAAGTTAAATTGAAATTCAAGTACTTCTTATTCTATATTGTAAGCGATTTTGATTGTGTGTGAATACAGATTTTGTTAGAAGCGAGTGCTTACAATATGTATAAGTTTGAAAAAAGGACATACTTATGAAAATAAATATAAAATTAAGAGTAAAAACAGTTTAATCGAGAAATGTATAATCGATTTGCTACATAAAAACAGAGGTAGTTTAGGTGCTCATAAATTTGCTACATAGTTTTTATGTCGAAATAAAAATCCTTTAAATAAACGTCTCATTAATAATTTAACATTTTATTTACTGTTATTACGGCGATACCTATTTTATAGTAAATAAATATGTTAAAGAAGTAGTTCTGTTTTTAGGTCAATCAATTGTTTAAAGCTTTTGTTTTACGAAATAATTGTCTGGACAAATTACGTATCTAGGAAATATAGCACTATCATTTCCCAAAAATATTTTGAATAGGTATACCTAATCCACCACAAAAAGAAACTGATGTAGTTGCAACAAATCATTACATTCAACATTTTCTCTCACATGAACTCGAAATTGCAATTAAGTTAAATAATAACTTTATGAGAAGTTTCATAAACCATTCATCTAAGTACATAAAATTTTAAATGCTTTTTGTTTATCAGTTTTTATTGATAATTTATAGATTTAAACAGTAACTGATTCCTCGTTATTACAATATTTCTAAATTAATAGTTCATACTTCATAGTATACATGTATACGATTAAATTATTCTTTTACGAACGGTCTTTTAATTACTTCACTTTTAAGCTAAAAAAACATCAAAAACAACAAAAAGATAGTCATCTTTTGGTAACACATACAGGTGCACCAGAACTCGCGCCCCAGAGAAAAATTCCATGGAAAAAATGTTAAAAAAAAATTATCTATAATTTATCTATAAAAATTTCGAAGTTATGAGGGTTTAAAGTTTGCACTTTGACTCTATTTATTTCTGTTGGAAAAATAATTTTCCAAGTTTTTTTTGCTATAGGCTATTAAAAGAAGAAACAAGGAAGCTTATCCTAAACTGTAATTCCGTTTAATGTTATTTGTGACATTTATTGTGAAAATTTTTGTCTCTTTACTAAATAAATGTAAAAAAACTTATACAAGATCATCAGTATCATTAAATAGATATAAAAAAATGTCAAATGTCAAAAAATAAATGTCAAAATTTTTTGACAGATAGAATTTTTTAAACATGTTGTTCATGTTCCTGGTATCTTACCTTACTTGAAATTTTATGTTTTTCTGGGGTGCAAGTTCTGGCGCATCCTGGCTGGATTATAAAAAACGCCCCAAGACATAATATTTCTTTGATCAAAGTTGAACAGTTTTTTGTTCTCAATCGTGTGCTTGTCTTACATAAAATGAATAAAAATGTTCCATTCTTTCCACAGCCTACTTTATTTAATTTACGAATTATCTAAAATCAAAAGTTCATGATAAATCTTAAAAGATAATTTAATGACAAATCCAAAAATAATAAAATATACAGGATGTTCCATTTAAAAAACTGAAATTGATGTCACTTCCAGTGACAGTGAAACAGAAAGTAGCATTGATTGAGCATCCATGCCAAACAATAGATTACAAGAAACTCTTCATCTTTGTTCTAAGAAGTGTTGTCATTACTTTAAAAAAGAATGGAGTTATGGCTAATCCGATAGTTTTTTGCAACTTTAAAATACTTCAACTTCAAAACTTTAAACTTAAAAATATTTTTTGACAAAGCGTTTGCGCACTCACAGTGATTTCTACTTGAAAATTAGTGATATAATTAACAAAGAAATTTTATTGAGATTAAACATTTAGTTAATGTTATATCGGTAAACCACGATAAAGAACATTTTTTAATACAGTTACTTTCTGTAACAATAAAATACTTTTTTTTTCTCTTAACCAAACAATCCTTCAATCACAAACTAAACGCAAATATTAATCAAATTCTTAAACAAAAATTTAATTTAAGAATGTTTATAGTAGCAAGATTTAACGCCTAGTTAGTAATTTACTAAACCAATTTTCGCGAAAAATCATGCATATCACGACAAATTGATTTATTACAAATACACAGTAAATAATTTTGGAAATAGAACCAAACAATCGATCTATTTCGGACCGATGATCATTTCTATTTTACTTACCCGACTAAAGCCACTCCTTTTCCAACATAATTCGTCGCATGCCCTAGACCAAGAGGAAACATCGCCCTACTATTTATATCACAACCCAGAATTTTTGGGGGCAACTGAGTCACTGAAGTTGACGGCAAATCGAAAAATCGAACCAAATTATCAAAAGCTTGCATGGTTTGATTAACCAATCTACTTTTAGGGTAAACTTTCCACTTGAATTAAAAAAAAAAAAATACACGATAGTTAATGAATAAATTCACTTACTAGAGCCTCATTGATGGCATCTACAAATTCATTTTCGGGTAGTTTAATAAGATTTTTGGCATTTTCTTCATTTGTTGACCAAACCATAGATGATAAACCTTCAGTTAACTATAAAAAAATAAGAAATTTTTACGAAGTATTATTTCTTATCACCTCACCGGAAGCAGTGCCAAAAATCCGCTTTTAGGTAGATGTCTCTGCCAAGCCACGACGTTGTCGAAATCCTAATAAAAATATTGAAGCAATTGGACAAGGCTAAAAAAGCATTTATTACTGTTTTGGATCAACAGCAAAATCTTTGATCTCTTTTCTCGTTTGAATATGGGTCGAATTCATATTCTAAAATTATATTAATTTCTCCGTAAAATTACTTAGAAAATAAAAACCAAGTGCAACTGTTGTCCATAATTTTAAAAATAACTACAAACCTGTGGTAATTTTAAACTTGCAACAATTCCCATATGGTTGTAATTACTAGAAATGTGGTGAAAGCCCATTGATGTTCTCACAAGGGAGTTGGCACCGTCACAGCCCAGCTGAAAATTTGAGAAATGACTACAAATTTTGTTATTACAAAGCAAATAATCGGTTTGGCAACAAAGTTGAACAAAATATTGATAAAGTTTAGAATTCAAATCCAAACTGATTCAATGAGAATTAAAAATAGAATCTTCCCTACTACTAACAAACCGAGGGGCCCATCCGTTAGTCTCGTGGTGGAAGCGGTTGGGCTAACATTATTTCGAAAAAAACCTAGTAATAATTTTCACTAAAACTCGACCTATTGAATTAATGCAAAAATTATTTCATTTTGTTAACTTTTCAAAAACATGTTTATTTTCCCAACAAACTGCCTACAAAGTGTCGACATAATTAGTCAAATTATATAAATATTAGTATGTATGTGGAATTTTGAAGCGGATAAATTAAATCTGCCTCCATTCGTTTATTTTACAATCTAATTCTGGTTTGGTGAAAACTCCCGGCACAGCATCAACGTTTTTTACTCGAAAATAATCGACTTAACAGTGTGTGAAATTAGTGGGAACAAGTCCAAGAAATAAAATATATTTCTCTAAATTTTGATTTACAAGCTTAGCAATAAATCGCGATTTTACGATGTCGTTGCGACTTGAAAGGTCCGGAAAACCCATTGAAGAATTGACAGTCCGATGGAACGGTGACGTCTCTCTGGATATGACAGACGAGATGGGCAGTATTTCCAGTGAAGATGAGACGGGGTCGGAATACGATGGTGAACAAAGGAGTAGAGGAAAATCGGTGCTAGAAATATGGGATGATGACTATATTTGGGCTAGATTACAAGCAAGTATTTGATTTTCAGAATGATATTTTGGCAATAATTTCATTGTAGATGTTGTCTGATAGTGAGGACATAATTGAGATGATTGAACAAGACAATACGGAAACGATTTTTACGAAAAATCCAAAGAGTCTGCTACTTATAGCTACGTGGTTGCAGAAAGAGAAAATACTTCAGGAGCTTTTGGAGAAGGGAGTTTCTTTACACGCTGTAGATGGAGAGGGACGGTTAGCTTAAGTTTTTCTTTACATTGTAATAATTTTAATTTGATTCGCAGTTTAGACAAAATAAGCTTAATTAACCGAACACTCGGCGATACTTTGTCAAAGTCAAAAAAGCTTAGTGATGTATGTAATTGTTATTTCCTTGTTTCTGATACGAAATGAAACAAAACATGGTCTAAAAAAATTAATTTATGTTTTTCGATAGATAATGATACCAAATCCTGTCGGTTTCGAAAACGTTGTGTAAAAATTATAAGGTGCTTGTCGCCCTATTTTAAACCTCACACTATCTGATTCGCAAATGTTTTGTTAAAATTATTGGGGGCTTCGCCTCCGAGTAGAACTTACACTACCAGATTTTATCGAAATTGATAAGAGGCTCGCGACTTTACCACTCGTCCCCTTCTGAATCTCACACTATCTGATTCGCAAATGTTTTGCCATAAATATTGGAGGCTTCGCTTCCGAAAAGAACTTAATTTATACCAAGTTGCACCGTTTAAGATCTATTAAAAATATATAATCACTTTTTTTAAATAAATTTACAATTGTTCTTAACAAACAGTTTATTTAGTTTTGCATGACATTCGCAGATCAGCGCTCCATCTAGCTGCTTGCACCGGCAATATCGACTGCATCAAACTCCTTCTCCAACACGGCGCCGAAATCAGCGCCCGCGACGCCCTCAACCGCGCAACCCCTCTGCACTGTGCCGCAAGCAAAGGCCACTTATCCGCCGTCAGATTCCTTATTCGCCACGGTGCCGATGTCAACGCTGGCCTCGACAACAAAAGTCCTCTTCATTATGCCGTCCAGAGCCTAGCGATCGACTGCGTTAAGGAACTTCTTGATAACAAAGCCATCCCTAATACTTCCCAAGTATACAGTGAAACTCCTCTCCACGTCGCCGCAACTCTTGGCGCCCCTGAAATCGTTAAACTACTCCTCGACCATGGCGCTGCCGTCAACGTCCAATGCGGCACCGACAAACTCACTCCTCTTCACTTGGCCGCGGAGGACAGCGATGCTGAATGCGCCCGGCTCCTCATTGATGCTGGTGCCCAACTCACCAGCGAGAATCACAAGAAACAAACTCCTCTCCATTTGGCGGCCTTGTCTCAATGCTCGGAAACACTGGAATTGCTCCTAGCAAGAGGGTCGAACCCCAACGCGAGGGATATTGATGGCAGGACTCCCCTGCATGGGGCTATCGTCAAGGTTTCACGGTCGTGTGAATGTGTCAGACTTTTACTCAAAGCAGGAGCTGATGTCAATCGACAGGATTCCTTCGGGTACACTCCTCTACATCTTGCAGCCCTTAATGAATTCTCTAATTGTGTTATGATGTTACTAAATCATGGGGGCGATGTGACAGTAAGAACGAACGGAGGAGTCTCCGTTTTAAGTTTCATTACAAGAAAAACACCCGATGTTATTCCGAGATACCTTTCAAAATTTGATTCAGCGATCAAAATCAACGATCATGAAATTGGAGACGTCGACTGTGAACTCAAACTTGATTTCAGAATTTTGGTACCAACTATGGGACACCAAGAAACCGAACTTTTACTCAACTTTATCGAAGTCGGACACAGAGAAGTTCTCAAGCATCCACTTTGCGAAACTTTCCTTTTTCTCAAGTGGCGCCGAATCAGAAAATTCTTCCTTTTTAGTCTCTTCTATCACAGTCTTTTCGTCTTGCTGTTCTCTATATACACCATAGGAGTGTACATACAAGACTGTCCTTCACTACGTGGTCTTCTACATCGTTCGTGTCGAGTACCACAGTATTACAACATCATTGGTTACATTCTCCTCGTATTCAATTTTATGTTTCTGGGAAAGGAACTTTTTCAAATTTGTCACTCTTGGCGCACTTACATCCAACAATGGGAAAACTGGTTACAGTGGCTTATCATTATCAGTGTTTTTTGTTGCGTCCAACCCACTTCAAATGAGAATATGGATATCAGATACCAAGTAGCACGGTGGCAACACCACGTGGCTGCAGGAGGGATTTTTCTAGCTTGGGTCGAACTCATGATGATAGTTGGACGATTCCCAATTTTTGGACTCTACATACAAATGTTCACCACAGTCGCTGTAAATTTCATCAAATTTGTGATTGCTTATTTCTGCCTTCTCCTAGCTTTCGCCTTCAGTTTTGGCGTCCTTTTTGCCAAGTATAAATCCTTCAAAACTTTGAAATGGATAATTATTAAAGTTCTAGTAATGATGTCGGGAGAATTGGAATATGAAGACATATTTTACGACGAGGATGCCCCCATTCAGTACGACTATACCTCTCAATTCATGTTTCTTGCTTATGTAATCTTGGTTACAATCATTTTAGCCAATTTATTAGTCGGTTTGGCAGTCAGTGACATCCAGGGTTTGCAACAAAGTGCAGGTCTTGATAGACTGGTCAGACAAGCCGAGCTCGTGGCTCATCTCGAGTCGATGCTCTTCTCCCGCTTGTTGACATGTATTCCTCACAAACTAATGCATTTTTTTCATAAACAAGCTCTTCTTTTAAAATCACAATATCACTGGGCGCTTTACATCAAACCGAACGATCCGAGAGAAGAACGTATAACTAAAGATTTGATAAAAAATATTTATCATTTGGTGGCAGAGAGAAAAGAAAAGCCAAGAAAAAAACGAAGAAGTAATAAAATTAAGTCCGATTTTATTTCGCCGCCAGTATCGAGGATGAATTCGATTTCTGATTCATATGGAGGTGGTGATAAACAAGCGGCTTTGAAGAGTGAATTGGAAGGAATACAAAAAGAGTTTGCCGAATTTACTCAAACGTTCAAGGAAAAAATGGAGTGTATAACAAATCAGATGATTAAAAATACAAAGAGTTAATTTGTGTTGTAATAACTCATTTTTTATGTGAATGTAAACTATTTTCTAACTAAATAAAATAATGTTATACCTACCCCAGTGTTTTCACGTTTTTCAATTATTAAGAAAAATTCTGTAAACCAAGTTTTTAGAGGGTTGTTTTTAAACACACAGTTTCTGTCACAATTTCATATAGCATTTAAGGGAATATGAATGAAGATGTTTATTACTATTTTTTTTTCTGATAAAAACATTTTGTTACAATAAAAAAAATCTTTAATATACATAATTATAAAAAAGACGAAGACACAAATGCTGTTAGCATTCAAAAGTTTTTTTTTTAATTTGAAAAGTTAAACAAGGATGAATAAAATTGTATTAATTAGTTTTCTAATATAAATGCCATACAATACTGAAAGTATATTAAAAAATAAAATACTAAACCCATTCTTGCGAAAAAGTTTTGTGCTTTTATTTAAATTTATTTAGCCTGAGACTTCTTGAAGCATATAGCTTATAATTTATTTACTCACAAAAATTCTTTAGTACGTAAAAACTTACCAGCAGCTCACAAGTGTATTTGGCCCCATTTTCCATACATATTGTCACCAAATCTTCCTCTGCATCAGAATGACTACATTTTTGAATTTTTGATTCATAAAGCACTTCAACCGTCTTTACATTTTCCATTTCCTGTCTCACTGCATTCAAAAGAACATCGTTTTCAACAATATACGCCACGGGTTTTTCTAAATTATCATGATCAAAACTAATAGCAGCATCAGACATGGCATCCCAAACCTAAAAACCGTCATGTAATAATTATAGAAATTGTTTTCTCATGTACCTGCATACGTTTAACCGGCCCAAATCTAGCACCGGCAATGTGTTTCCAAGCATCAATGTCATTTAATAGTTCAAAAGTAACAGCATTCAAAGCTGAAACTCTGTTACTGTAAGCATCAGGCAACTTCCAAGATGATTGTTTACTTCCTTCTAACAGTAAAATCTTTTTCTGTGACAATTTAGGATTTTTACCTGTAAAAAAAATATGTAAATGAATATGTAATTTTTGCAACAATACTTTGAAATACCTAGAGTACAAGCCAAAGTTGTCCCGACCATGCCACCACCGGCCACAATAACATCGTAATGTTTAGATGAAACCTCATGAGTACTTTGAAAGCGTCTTGCTACAAGAATAATGCTTTCGTAGACAAATTTGCGGTGAAATTGTTTAATCAACATTGTTTTCATATTTTTTAAACATCTATTTCAGTGATATTTATAATTAAAAGTGACAATCGTTTGACATTGGGGAAAACCAAAAGTTACTAGTTAATTTTATAATGGCGCCACTTGCCAATATCAAGAAATAAAATTTTAAATTTGAACTGCAACCACCCAATCACCTACTTATCTCAATAAATATTTTATATTTTGTTTTGTGATAAATAAATATATGTTACATGTTTTAATTATTTTTTGTTTTCAATTTTTTGTTCAAATAATTGTAAAAAGTGATTCTCAAAAGAAGGTTATTGATTGTTTGTTGAATTTTAAATAGAAACCTCTATACAAAGAAGTATAATCAATACTGTGTTACCATAGGAATAAATACCCGTATTTACCCAATTTAAATAAAATTCAAAGTGCAATGTCCGACCATAGCAGTTCTGTGTTTAACAATTCTTGTTTAAAATTGCCCAGAAACCCCAAAAGCCATCGTCCTTTGCCTGTGTACGAGCAAAAGTATTTGAACCAATTACAAAACGAAGCTACAAAGTTGAATTTAGAATCGTCCAATGAAATCAGCATGAAAGCCAGATCTTCAAGAGATAAAGATCCCGTTAAATCTTTTATCGAATTCTTCGATAGTATCCCAGAGTATGATGAATTGAATCATTTATCAAGTAAAGAATTTTACAAAAAAATTGAATTGTTAAAAGAAAAACAAAAAACGTACACTGATTATGTGCAAAGTGAAAATAATGTTGTTGATGAAAATCCGGAATGGTTGGAAGAATACAAAAATTACGCAAAAAAGAAATTTGATGATAAAAAAAAGAAAACGAAACCTTTTTGTGTGACGCCAATTCTTAGTAAGAGTCCCAAATATTCTAAATCTGCCGAAGACCTGGAGTCTGTCATTTTTTCCGATAAAGATTTATCGCTAAAGCCACCTTCAAGAAGATCGGTTCGAATTGAAACTCCCAGTGATAAGTTATCACCAGGAGATACCCCAATTGAACTTTACAAAAGACCCAAATCGCGTCTTCCTTCGGTTAGTTCAAAAGGTCAAGACGACTGGGACAACTTTAGTATTGATGATTATAAATTAGACTTGGAAAATCGATCTCCTAAACAGTCAAAAAGTGCCCCTAATAGTCCCGCTAGAGCCAAGTCAAATGTAGGCTGGAAAGATGATGGGATTACCATTCCTAAACCCTTTGAAATGACCGTCAGGTAAACATCAGATAGATTAGAAAAAAATTCATTGTAATTTGCAGAGATGAAGAGAATAAAATCGTTGAAGAACTGATGACTAAAACAAAACCCAAAGAAGAAAAACCAGAATTGTTCAAAGCCCATCCTGTACCAATTGAATCACAGATACCACTTTTTGATAAAATTATGGCTGATCAAGAGAGAAAGTGAGTGTCTAATTATCGAGTTCTTAATGCGCTTTATGGCCCAAATTATTAAAAAAAAAACTTATTTCAGTAAAGCGCAGCAAGATTTCGATGCAAAATTAACCTAATTTATGCATCTGCCAATAACCATATGTATGTATGTCATTTCTAGAAACAAAATTGTTAGAGAACGCAGTAAAGCCCTTTTACAAGCTCAAATGCGGCCATTTTCTTTTACACGCAGAGACGAAGAAATTCAAAATCTAACAAAAGGTCTCTCCAAGTCATCTCCAAGCCTTTTTCTTGATGATCCTCCCATCAAAGTCAAGAAGTTTAAAGCAAAACCGATCCCAAAAAATCTCTTCAGTAATTACATTTACAAAAAGATGCACGAGGATGAGTTTTACAGGTCCGTGTCATTTTCACAAAATGTGTTTTTAATTTGATGTTTTTAGAGCTTTACAGAAAAAAATTCGAGCTGAAGAGATGCTTCGTGCTGCTTCCTTACCGCCTTCGATGGCCAAAAGGGAAAGAACTAGTCACAAGTACGATGTTTGTCCACGCTCATACCGAGACGTTGCAGAAATTAAACCAACAAAACCAAAAAAGAACAAAGGTTACAAGTGCGGTTCCGATTTCGAAAAAGAGTTGGAAGAGTTGAAAAATGAGTTTTTGGATATTAGCCCAAAACTAAAATTTAAAAGAAATAGCAAAAAACAAGTTGAGTATTATTTGAAAATTTTATATTCTATATGTTAAAATTCTAGAACAAAGGTTGCAGAAATTTCTCTGCTAGTAGTTGCGATAGTCGCACTCCTTCATCGTTATCTTCCATTAACCGTTCGAATTTGGCCGCTGTTTTGAGAATACAGTCAGCTCGCAAACGTCTTGAAATGGACATGTGTCGAAAACTTGAAGAAGCAAAACTCAAAGAAGAAGCTCGTTGGAGGGAAAAACTGATGCGGAAAAAACCAGTTTGGCAAACTCTAGCTTACAGTCATGAGGAAGACCTCGCAATGAGATTACAGTTGCGTCGAGATGAAGAAAAATTACGAAGTGAAGAACACAAGTTGAGAATGCAGTTGATGTTGGGGAGGGTTAATCAGCAACCAACACTGTTCGAGCGTCAATCTCAAGTATGTCAGTTTCTCATTTTTTATTGTTAACTTTATAAACTTTTTTAGGTTAAATATCCTAGAACCAAAGATGAATTATTAGATAAACTATACACTGAATACAAATCTAGAAAAAAATCCAAACGAAGCATCAGCGATTTGTCCGATATGCGAACTTTGGCAGAAGTCAAAGATGCGGCAATCCAGGATTTACTCGACGACGACTTAAAACAAGATTTAGATTCATTGAATTCAAAAGAAAGCATTCAGGAAGAAAAAGAAAAGTGTGACAGCATCAGCAGCGAAGACAACCATTCAAATTAAATTAATTTATTAATCCCAACACGAAACAAATATAACTCAGTCTTAATTTAAGAAACGTTTTCTTCTATCCACTGCAAGTACTTGTCCACTCTTGTATACACAGTTGGTAGGTTTGGGTCCCCACAAGTTAGACTTGAAGCAAAAGAGACGATGCCAAGCTGAAAATAGCGTAAATCTCCTCCTGTGTCAGTAGTTGCGTTTACTAGAGGTCCTCCACTGTCCCCCTTGCACGCATCTTCTTTTGCTGGTCCGTTTGCGCAAATTTGGGTGTCTTGAATCGGTTGTACTTCCGGAGGGACACTGTTCATGCACGCTGTGTGATTCCAAACTGACACAGAAGTGTACTGTAGCGTTGTAGAGCCGCCCAAATTGGCGGCATTGGTCTTGCCCCAACCACTTATAGTGAGTTTTTGTGTGACTAAATCTTTAAGTTCAAGGTGTTTTTCAAAGGGTAAGCAAATCGGTTTAACGTATTCTGAAATTTTGGGATTATTGAATACAATATGCGAGCGCAGTCGTACAAACCTGTAAACCTGATTTGGCCTCTCACTTTAATCAAAGCAATATCGTTTTGAATATTTTCTGTGTTGTATTGTTTGTGAACTGCTACTTCTTGGATGGTGAAATCTACATGAGATGGAGCACAAGTCGTGTAATTGTTAACCGTGAAACAATCTTTTTGGGCCAAGAGATCGTGTTCACCTAATCGAACCAACACTCTACAATTACCAGATAATTTTTGGTTGTTTTGCTTTTTAAATTCTTTCTTTATTACCTACAATTCTAATCTTCGATCTAGATTTATGCAATGGGCAGCGGTCAAAACATAACGATCTGTTATAATGCTGCCGGCGCACAAAAATTGGGTATAGTTGAGTCCCTTTTCTACAAAAACAAATTTAAAAAAAAATATAAGATTTTAGTAAGTCTTACGTCGATAGCCTAGCAAAGCCATCCAAGGAAATTGACCCAAATCCGCAATTTTGCCACCACTGACCTTATCTGAGATCATGACAAGACCACAAGTTACCGGAAACAAAGATGTTTTTCTATTTTTCAAAGCAGTACTGTTAACGTCGTGTGAACCAAGAGGGCAACATATCATGTTGAGACCGCTGTGGCAAGGGTAGATGAAAGTATCGGCATCTCGAACTTTGCAGTGTGAAAGAGGGACACAGACGTGCTTTTCGGGGCATTTTACTTGCACTCTGTTTTTCTGTTGTAAGGATTCAGAAACTGAAAGACACTTTTCAATTTTTTTGTATGTGGAGATTGCACATTATTGTAGACAAGTAGCACAAAAAATCATTTACTAAGTACAATGTGAAATTGTGTAGATGTTATTTCGTTCTTTAATTAAAGTAATCTGATTCTGGTACTTTCTTTACCAAAATTCAACTTTTTTTTTTATTAAAATCAAAACCTTTTTAAACAACCCAAAAATGCTATGAAAGAAAATTAAATAATTTAACTACGATTTTGTTGCACAATTCTTTTAATACACCAAATTCAATAAAATGCGACTCTAAAGAATAAAAAAATTAATATTTTTGCCCGATTAGACTCTCTGCTATCCCAAACTCGTTGGTAAGTATTTTGTTTATTGTCTCAGACGTCGCTTCGCTCCTCCTCCAAACAATTGTCTTCGATCGGTAAAATGTCCTTACCGTTCTTGATGCTCAACATACTATTTCAGAAATTAAAGTTACAACATAATTTTTTATAAAGGTGTTCCGGCTAAACTTCACATTAGCCATAATCAGTTAGATTCTGGTTAATAAAAATATTTTCAAGATGGCGGCACTTCCGGTTACAATGGAAGTGCGTATCAACTTCGTTATTTTAAGTAGAATAGTAGAAAGCTACAATTTTTTGTCGTCTTTAAACTATTCAAATGCTTTTGAGAGTTTTTATTGGTCTTCCCCTCTTCCCTAGATCTATGTTTAACCGTTTTCGAAATATGTCCTTACCATTTTTGATACTTAATATACTATTAAATACATATGTAGAAACTCAACACTACAGGTCAAAATTTTGCACTTCATTGTATTGAGAAGAGTATTGTTTAGTATACTTTCATGAGGAGCAGGTAGCAGGCCATTTGGGGTTTACCAGAAGGTGATGACACTCATAAAGTGATTAACTCTGTTTCTGCTAAATTTCGTCGAAGATGGTATACAGGACAAAAGATGAATAAAACCATTAAATTCGTCACGACGTTTCGATACCTTTATTGTATCTTCCTCAGCCGAAGAATTTTCGTTGGCTGAACATGGGAGGCATGGCACAGTCAAGGAAAAACTCTGTTTCTGTTTCCAAATACTTCTAGATTTACTTTACTTTAAATTTATATGATGTGTACGTACTTGGGTTACAAACCTGCTTATCTAGCGGTTAAACACCGCAATGTTTTGGCCCGCATTCCTCTATACAAATTTTATTTTTTACAAATAAATACAGGATACTAATACAGGAATACAGCTGTGTTTTTCCAAACCTCAACACCCATTATCAAGCAATAAATCACAAATTTTATCATTATAGGAGTGAGATCGTCGAGAGTGTGATGTAACTGAAGGTCAATTACAACTACTCGATTTTATTTAAAATTGAAAATCGAATTTATAGTATAATTATATTCCTATTTAAATTATATTTCTGTGAAAACTTGATCCAAACATGTTTTTTGTTTATTTGATCTCGTCTTAAATTTTCTATTCACATTCATGCCATTAAATATGAATTAGGTATGTACTAAATAAATACTCACAGGCAAAACAAAGAAAAAAAACTACAAATTGTTTAAACCATTCAAGAGCCATTTAAACGATTATCACAACAAACAACACAAACAAGACTTATTTACCTACCTTCCCATACTGTCGAATCTTAAGTCACGCGTGCGCAGAAACTTTTCCAAGAAGTAATCACATAAACCCGAATTGGCTTTTAAAGATATTTTCAAGAAAGATATTTTCAAGTATCGTCTTTTTTATTATGGTAAAGCCTACTGCCATGAGTGCCATGGGTAAAGCAGTTAAGGAACTTTCATTTTGTTGATTGTTTTCCTCGCGGAACTCGGTGTTCGGAGATGGCCATGAACTTTCTTAAGTGTGTTACACTGGTATGCAAATAATTCGAGGGAAATACTAAAAGTTTGTAGGACTTTCCCACAATTTTCTTAGTGTAAAAATTACAACAATTTTTTTTATAAGAATGCTGTATTTCGAAATAAGTGAGATAAATCAAGGCTTAAGGTTATCCAAAATCCAGTCCATGTAGTAGGCAACTCTGGTGTAAACACCTGGAAATGGAACATTGCCACAGTCTATAGGACCAAAAGACACTATCCCTTGCTGAACAAATCTTGGCTGGCCGTATAAGAAAGAGAAAGCATGAAGAGGTCCTCCACTGTCACCGCTACATGAATCGCTTTTTGTTTTGCCCCCAGCACAAATCTGACCTTTATTCAGTTGGACAGACCTTTTAAATTCCTCTTGACATTCTTGAAACGGTACCATGGGAAGTTCGGCTTTCCGTAGATCAGGACTGGGGACTCCTTTTTCGGTATATCCCCACCCAGTCACTACTACGTTTTTATTTGTAAAGTTGAAATCTCGGGCTTCGTCCAAAGGTAAACAAACCGGTCTACTATTCTCTACAAAATAAATACGAGTACATTGGAAGCCAAAATTAAGAAATATTGAAATTTTACCTAAAGTAAGATTTATTGGAGACACTCTAATGAGAGCAATGTCATTAGCATGCGTGCTGAGGTTATATTGTTCGTGAAAAATAACTTTCTCGATTGATAAATCCTGAACAGGAGGAGCACAAATTTCTTCACCTTCTTCCTCTTCACAGTCAGTATTTGTACGAATATCGTGTTCCCCAACTCGTACTCCAATTCTGGCAAAACAAAAATTAAGAATTTTGACAATATTTTTGCTTACTCACAATTTATGCTTAATATTTGTAACGCAATGCGCTGCTGTTAAAATATATTTTTCATTGATTATGGTGCCTCCACATAGGAAAGAAGGTCCATTATCTAAAAAAGACATAAGTCAACAACAACAAAAAATAGTTTTATAATAACAAACCAGTTTGATATGATAAGAGAGCCATCCAAGGAAATTCGAAAAGTCCAGTTTTGTTACCATTGACTATTTTGTCAACAGAGTCCAAATGACCGCAATTTTTGTGTAAAAGTTTAACATTTTTGTGATTGCTAACATCAGGCAACATAACATCATCGCTTGAGCTACCAGTATTTACAAGTTTGTTGTAATCAATAGGATTTTGTGGGCAACAAATAGTTTTTTTTTTGCCCGTAATATTGCACTCATACGCTTTTAGTTTTGCACGAATATGAGGTGGTATAGGATAAGGGAGTTTTTTTACAATGTCCAACATTTGTGTACAAAAGCGGACCTCTCGACATAACCCTAGTTCATTGTCAGGGGTTTGACAATAATCGCCACTGCCACCTCTTCTTTCTGTGTATATTGGAAGTATTTTTTTTTAATAAAAATATATAAATTACGTAATTTCTTTATACATACGTGCTTCCACCGCGAAGAGAAAAAAGAACAAAATGAAAACGCTTTGCATTTCAACACTGACCATCTTTAAATGCCTAATTATAACTACATAGTAATTACTTCTTAATACTTCAGGACGGAATACATCTAATGCGTTTTAAATACAGAAATACATTAAGATCATAAACAGGTATGTTGCACAAATATGTAGACATTTATATTTAATTTATATATTTTATCGATATTTTATCGTCATTTTTTGAAGAGGAAAGTTCAAATCCAAAAATTTTCAAAAAAATCCAAATACGTAATAAAAAACATAACTTTCTAAATAGCAAAAACACCCATTTCCGCTTTAGCCCAAAGTGCCACCATCTTGAAAATATTTTCATTGAGCAGGACTTGAAAATATTTTCATTGAGCAGGACTTAACCGATTGTAGCTATAAACAAAATTTTAGATAAATAAATTGTTATAACTCCCAACATTTTTAATGTGGAGTTTAGCCGGAACAGCTCGTATAATGTTTGACATTTGTTAAAAAAAATTATATTTTCAAATAATAATTCTGTCTATAATGTGCTATCGTTGAATGAGTGCACTACTCATGTACTCATTCAATGGTGCTATGTACCCATAGATTTATTGGTAATTCTGTAATTAAAATTATTCCAAACAAACTTATTTTGTGACTTTTAAAAATGTTACACTTTTAATTGTTAAGTAATTTTTTTTTAGAAAACAAATTTAATTTAGATAGATTCAAAATAAATCCAACCAAATTTCAAGATTTTTCGTTGCTGAATAGATAATAGAGCAGTGAACAGAGAACAGATCAACAGTCAAACAGTGAAATAAAGCAAATAATTGATAATTCGAATTAGTTTAATTTTAAATTAAACTTTAAATTTACTTTCTGTAAATCTGCCCCTAATGTTTAAAATTTAAATTAACAACTAAAATTTGTTTATTTTTATTAAAACACATTATAAAACATATAGTTTCGTAGATATATTTACGGTTCCACATTATCGAGTATCCAGTCCATAAACGCAGCCACTCTCGTGTAAACCCCCGGCAAAATACTTCCACATTTCTTTGGTCCAAATGATACAACGCCTTGCTGCACTATCCGTGTCTCTCCAAGTATTCTTCCCAAGACTTGGAGAGGTCCTCCACTATCACCTCCACATGAATCTTTGTTCTTTCCCCCGGCACATAATTGACGCTTGTCCAAATCAGCCGTGGTTTTGTACAGTCTTTTACATTCCTCTAAAGGAACTACAGACAATGAAACTTTCTTTAAATCAGGACTTGCTCGGCCATTTTCAGTCATTCCCCATCCTGTCACAATAACATTTCTGTTTGTGAAGTTATAATTTCTACTTTCTGCCAACGGAAGACAAACAGGAAGACTATTTTCTAAAAATAATAAAATTAAAACATTTTGTAGTCCTAGAATTAATTTCTCACCTAAAGGTTTAATCGGAGCCACTCGAAGAAGAGCAATATCATTGGTCAAAAATTTTTTGTTGAATTGTGGATGTGGTATTATTTTCTCTATTTGCAAATCTTGAAAAGGAGGTGCGCAAAATCTTTCATTGTGTTTATTGATTTCACAATCGGTAACGGTTCTTATGTCGTGTTCACCAACTCGAACACCCAATCTACAAAAGATTTGATACAATAACATTTTTACGTTTTGAATCTTTTGAACACTTACAATGGCATGTTGAGGTTTGTCACACAATGTGCTGCTGTTAAAATATACCTAGAGTTGATAATTGTGCCGCCACACTTAAACTGAGGACCATATCCTTAAAAAAAAATACTTATTTAAGACAATATAAGAATTATGTTTATTACTCGTTTGGTAAGATAGCAGAGCCATCCAAGGAAACTCCAAAAGATCAGTCTTGTTACCGTTGACAATTTTATCTAGAGAGTTAAATTGTCCACAATTTCTGGGTAACAGATTAGTGTTTCTGTGTTTAGAAACATCAGAAAATATTGATTCGTCTTCGTTGTTGAAATAGATAGGTTTTGACGGACAACACACTTTCGGTGTATTACCATCAAAACCGCAATGATATGATTTTAAATAATTTGAAATTTCTAGTGGTAACGGTTGAGGTACTTGGTCTAGTAAATCCATTATTGGTTTGCATGAATAAATTAGAATACATTTTCCATCTTGGTGATGAGGTGTTTTACATAGATCGTCGTTGATCGATTCATATTCCCATTCTAGGATTAGTGTTTAATACAAAAAAAATTAAAAAAATCGATGATAATTTTTTATCAACTTACGGGCTTTTGCAAAGAAGATGAAGTGAAGGAAAAACACAACACGAAACATAATTTTAATAATACAAACCACTAACTGCCTATGCGAACAGACTTTTATTAATGCCGTGATAAGGAAAGGTGAGATGACAATTTTAACGAGTTTTAAAGTATGTCTCTTCCATGACTCATGCGTAAATTCATTGGTCGGTGGAGGGAAAAATTTTGGGTTAAGAAAGAAGGGTTTTTTTTCTCTTTTATATCGTGCGTTGTGTGTTACTTTAACACGTTTTGTACTGAATGATTTTTAATAAATAAGCGGAAACTACGAGTAGTAAATCAGTAAAAGTAATTAATAAATACGTAGATATTTTTCTTTTACTCACCAATATGTAAAATAAGATATACATATACAGGGTGTTCGGTCCAAGTCGCCCCGGCCGATAACACCTAAATTTACTTTTTTTTTCAAAAACTAAATTTTGAAATAATACTATTCATTCCTCGCTTACTTAGTAAATGCATCAAATTTTTTTGGCACATCCGGTGTAGCAGGAAATGCTACCAAATTTAGTTTTTCAAATGGAACACCTATGTTTTTTTGCTCAAAACAATAATAATTGGTATGAAAAATACGGTAAACCACTATTTATTACATTTTACTTTACATAATGCACTTAGAAAACAATTTAAATTTTTGAATTTTATTGCAAATTTTGCAACGTAGGCGGATTTTACTTGTCAAGGTATTCATGCAAAAAGCAATATGCTTGGATACCGTTTAATTGTTAGTTTGACAAAGCCTAATTTGTCCATAAATCTTATTGAGATCTTTAATAATGGATGATATTAATTACGACGAATTGGTAGATTAGCTGGAAGTGTTTTCAATAAAAATAGAGCGGAAGCTGAAAGACAATATAGAGAAGAATACTCAAATAGAGTTCACCCAAATCGTTGGAAATTTAATCGAATTGAAAAACAACTGAGACGATTAGGTTTGCTACTTAAAAATAAAAAACCTGTGAGTTTTTGTGAAGAACAAAAAAATAGAAATCTGAATGTTCTGTTATCAGTCGAAGAAAATCCAAGAGTTTTTATAAGAAAACTCGCTCATCAACTGACAAATTATATTTGTCAAACCAACAATTTAACTGTATCCAAGCATTTTTTTATTCACATCTTTCCTTTAAATTTAAAAATCGGACTACGCGACCAATTTCCTTTATAAAATTCTAAGTTTTAAGATGTTTTTTGATTGCATTGTGTTACGCAAAATGTAATAAACAGTGGTTTACAGTATTTTTTATGTCAGTTATTATTGTTTGGAGGAAAAAAACATAGGTGTTCCATTTGAAAAACTAAATTTGGTAGCATTTCCGGCAACGCCGGATGTGCCAAAAAATTTGATACTTTTATTAAGAAAGCTAAGAATGAATATTATTACTTAAATATTACTTTTTGAAAAAAGAAGTAAGTTTAGATGTTATCAGCCGGGGCGACTTGGACCGAACACCCTGTATATACTTATTTTCTAGGCAAAATGGGTACTAGGACACAAATTTATTTAGTCGACATACTTAGAAAATTAAAAATTTGTTTTTTTTATTTTGAGTTATGTTACAAATCTTATAAATAACCTTAATTTATTTATGCTTTGAGTTCCTTATAAATGATTCAACAGTCAAAGAAAGAATTTTATAAAATTCTCAAATTGATGTGGGGATTTACACAGCAACGTCCCACTTTAGGCTTCTTCAATATGGAAAACATCTTCAGTAGTAAGAAGGCCCCTAGTGAACACAGCTACTTTTTAAGGAAAACACCCCGATTTTCAAGGGTAAACAGAAAAGCAGAAAAAATCGTGAAAACACACCCATTTTTAAGGTATATTTTAAAATTAACATTTTTTCAATGATTTTGTCCTGTTTTTCTATTGGGGCTATTTCAGCACACACAGGAATACGATTTCGGCCTAACAAATTTGGCCAAGAAAATTCGGTGTATACCCAAACGGAACCGCTAAAATCTGTTCATTTTTGGTTGTTTATTTTTAATTGCTTAACATTTTTTTATTGTTCCAACGGATAGAAATTTTATTCTAAGAAATGAAAAGAAAGATACATTATTCAAAATGTGGTAGTTCTAATAGATTGAATTTAATTAAGATGTATTGAAATTCGATACCTTATTGTAATGAAAATCGAAGTACAATGAAAAGATTTTAATCTCTCTAATTTTTTTGAAATTGACGTGTGGTAAACCCACTTCTTACTTTCAAATTCATATGAATTGATCAAATCAATGTTGTTTAAACAATTATCAGGAACACCTTGTTTGTGTGATATTATTTGTCCTTCACGAGATAATTTTTTTAACAATTCAAATTCTTCTTTATCAGGATTAACTTTAAGAAACTTGATTTTTTATTTTAAATTAAATTGTGGATAATATTCTCCTTTAAATTTAGGGATATAAACTTTTCCAAGCAAACAAACATACATATACTTTTATTTATCATTTATGAAATTATCCAAATTACAACTTCAGTTTGCAAAAATAACTAGATATACCTCTGTAATTGTGGACCGCATACGAGGCTCCTCTGCGACCATATTAAAATCCTGCACATTGCATGCACAACGAGCCGGTGCATAGGTTACTGATGCGTAAACTCTATCACCACTATATTGTTTTTCAACAACACGCATTCCAAAAACCATTCAGTAATATGATGAAACATTTTTTTTTAATCTTCCTCATTATCTGGAAATGGAATGATGATTTCCTCTCCGCTTAAATCGGGAGTCCTAACCTTGATTTTGTAAACGACCCTATACACACATGCTGGATGACAATTTCTTTTCCAATGTGTGATTTCATGTATCGTCACATCTATGTATAAGCTCCGCAAAAAAAGTTCTTTTCTGTATGTGGACAACCAATTATCCACGGCAATTCGTCTAAATTATTTATACATTAAAAAACAAATAGACACATACCAGGTGAATAAAAAGTATGGAACCAAGCGCTTTTTTCGTAAACTATGCAATTTACGAAAAAAATAATTAGTGTAGTGTAAAGTACAATTAAAATGTGACCATTTATCAAGAATAACATTTTTCGAAATTTCTTTTAGTTTTCGAGCTCTAGAAAAAAATTACCACTAATTAAATAAAATTGTTTTTTAGTAAGTACTTTTTTTTTAATTAATTGTTAAAGTTGCGTTCCGAGCCCATTACGAAGATTTTCCGAACTTGAACGAGGGGGTCGTCTCATAACTTTGGTCGTTGGAGAGCCCGGTTTTTTGTGCAGGTGCTTTGGGGTGGTTCCGGATGGATCAAAAAATCTAATAACAAAGCACCTGCATAGAAATCAGCGCTCTCCCATGATGAAATGCATGAAACAACCACTTCCGTTAAGTTCGGAAAATCTTCGTGATGAGTTCGGAACGCAACTTTAACAATTAATTAAAAAAAAGTTATGGCTAAAAAACAATTTTATTTAATTAGACGTCATTTTTAGATCATAATCTTTAATTTAAAAAAATGCCATAGTGGGTTGCCATTTAAAAAAAAAATTCCAAAACTCGAAAACTAAAAGAAATTTCGAAAAATTTTATTCTTGATAAATGGTCACATTTTAATTGTACTTTACGATACACTAATTATTTTTTTCGTAAAGTGCTTAATTTACGAAAAAAACGCTTGGTTCCATACTTTTTATTCACCTGGTATGTATTAAAACTTAGAGAGGATAGAAAGAGGACACATTGGTTATTTTGTTCTGTGGGTTATTTTATTATTCAAATAATCTTTTGGTGAAATTTTTGTGGGAATTGAATTAATTAAGAAACGATGTTAAACCAATTCATTTAATAATATTATAAAATATATTTTTTTTATATTATAAAATTTTCGGTTGTTCCAAAATACCTAAGTATATTGGGACAATGAATAAAGTACCAAAATAAAATTTTTCTTCAACAGTTAAAAATAATTACGGTTAATTATTTCCGTGATTTATTAGAAAGAGTCATATGAAAATAATCACAGACGATTAATTAGTTTTATTATTTGATTGACAAGACCACATTTAAAACCGAAAACTGTCAAGACAAATTTATCAGATTTAACTAATGTATTCGAAATATCATCAAATTCATAATATATTTTATCTTTAAAGAAATATAAATTTCTATATCTGAATGCTCTGCTTATATTTGGAGGTATTCCAGCAAATAATTCTGAATTAGGCCATTTTTCTTTGATCTAAACAAACACTCATCAAACTCAATGTATAAAACTTTATCATAAAATATATGTTTTTCCAGAATAAGTTCTAAATATTGCATCAATTCTTTTTCCGTTTGGTATTTCTAAATTTTCTATAGATTTACCATTATATCCATTTTTAACATTAAAACTTGGAAAATCATTTAAATAATATAAATTTTTAACAACTATTAAAACATCACCTGAAGGTGTTTGATAAATATGTGAAATTTCTTGAAAATCATCACCAAATAAGACATTTCTTTTGATAGTTTTCTAACCTTTTTGGGAACAACCTTTTTCACACCATGTAAATATCTGAAAAATTTGAGAATTTTGTTTTTGACAATTTACGTTTTTTTTTACACTCAAGTGTATGTAAAGTTTGTTTTTTAAATTTACGCGTGTGGATCAATTAATAATTCAAGAGACTTACCAGATAGCTATCTTTTTTCAACATTTGTAAACCGCCTTGTTACTCTCTCGCTACGTATTTGAGTAAGGTGATGAAATTTAACTCACTTTAACAAATGCGATTAAATTTATGCAGTGCCAGTGACGTACGCCAAAAGTGTGTCTTACATACCATCACGTAGGTCATTTGTAATTTCATTTTTAATGGAGAAAACTGTTCTAAGGCAAATATTTATACCCTTTATATCTTTGTAACAATCGTAATTCATGCCCTATAAAATGCCAGAGAGAAACTTTAATTTTTGACTTTAGTACCAAAATGTCAGCAGCTGTCAAATGTCAAAAACAGACAGAGGTCATGTCCTGACTGTTCTTGATTCACACTACCCCCACCAGCAAATAAAAAAAAAACTTTATTTACAACATACAGGGTGAATATAAAGTATGGAACCAAGCGGTTTTATTTTTAATCATTTGTCTCCAGAAAATAATAATTAATATAAATTAAAGTAATATAAAAAATGTGATCGTATTTTCAGAACGAAATTTTATTTTGTTTTTGAGTTATGCGATTTTTTTTGTCAAAATTGCAATTTATGTGAAAACATTTTTTTCAAAAAATTAAATATAAAGTAGATAGTTGTAATCCTTAGAGTATAGCTTTTATGAGAAAAATGATTTTATAGTGGGTTGCCATTTAAAAAAAAAAAATTTGTAGAACTCAAAAACAAAAGGAAATTTCGAAAAATTTTATTCTTGTTAAATCATCACATTTTTATAGTACTTTATCACTCATTAATTAGTTTTTTCAAAAAATAAATAGTTTAAGCAAAAAACCTTTGGTTCCATACTTTTTATTCACCTGGTATATATGGGTACCTATATAGAAATCTCTGCAATACAAAGTTATACATATCTATATGGTTTGGTTTTAATGTTATTACAAAAAAATATCTCTTGTTATGTAATATTCTTTCACTTTCCCCAAAACTGTATTATAAAAATTGACAGGTAACAAAATGCGGTGTCTGTTGGTAACAAGGCCTTGCTTAATAACTTAAATAAATTTGGCACAAAATAAATTATTTGATATTTTTGTTTTATTATTTTTTAGATCAGCGTAAATAAAAATAAAAAATTGAAAAACTATATTTCCTTCAGGATGCATAACATAAATAAGCATAATACAACCTCATCAATAATCTAGCAACGAAGCAAATTGGCAAAGTTTGTAAGTCAATTGTATGAAAATCGCAGTCTATTTAACAAGGTACAGTCTTCAACTCTATCTCCCTAGGACTTCATATTGTCTAAGATCCAGTCCATGTAATAAGCCACTCTAGTATAAACCCCCGGCAATACTCCTGCCCCGCAATTCCGAGGACCAAAAGAGACAATCCCTTGTTGCACCAACCGCGTGTCATCGTACAAAAGAGACATCACATGCAAAGGTCCTCCACTGTCCCCCCCACAAGAGTCACCCTTGGTCTTGCCACCCGCACATAACTGTTGGTGTGTAATTTTAGTCACGTCTTGATACAACTTATTACACTCTTCATGAGATACTATGGGAATTTGCACTTTCAACAAATCGGGACTACTGCGACCTGTTTCTGTAACTCCCCATCCTGTCACCACACAATTCCTGTTGGTGAAATTATAATTTCGAGCCTTGTCAAGTGGTAAACAAACTGGTCTAGTGTTTTCTGTAAATTTGAATTTTTTATTTGAGTTTCAAGCATGAAACTCTTACCTAATGATAAATTCATCCGTGTGACTCGAAGGAGCCCCACATCGTTAGTGTGAAGCGCAGTGTCGTAAGAAGGATGAGGAATAATTTCTTCTATGGACAAGTCTTGATATGGTGGAGCGCACACCAAGTCACCCTCACTTGTCAACTCGCAGTCTTTTTGCGTCTGGATGTTGTGATCCCCGACTCGAACTCCTATGCTGTCAATTGAAATTTATTTTAAGCTTAAATGCGAGTATAAGAAAAGCACTTACAGTGGATATTTATTATTTGTTATGCAATGTGCAGCAGTAAGGATATATCTTTCGTTGATGATTGTAGCTCCACATTTAAACTGGGGACCCCGAGCTACAAAAAAACGCAAAAAGGTGACGTGATTTTCAGAAAGTAAAAACAAAATTATAAATAGGTAAATCTTTCATTTGCATATTAATTACATGATTTAGCATAAAACTAACATTAAAATAAACTTGTACCAAAATATTCTTGGAAGCAATAAAAATTATGATGAACAAAGACTTTAATAAATATGCGGAAAATTGTGTATCAAAGATTCAAAATAAACTTGTGGTAAACGTCATACACTGATAAACATTGGCATAACGAGCGTTTTCTAATGAGATTGATAACGCACGGCTTAAATATTAATCAAAAAAGCCTAAAACAACAAATTGAAGAAAACAAACAAACACAAATTGTAGAATGCAGAAAAATTTTACTTTCCACATTTAGAATCTTTGTAATAAATCCTTTAAAGAACTAAAATGTACTAAATTTTATTGAAATACATATTTCAATGAACAAAAAAGGCATAAAAAATTGAATGTGTATACAAATTTTTACTTTCCTTATCCTATAATCGGCTGAAATTTGACCTACCCAGATTTTTACTTTTCTGGACAAATTATAGCTTCAAGACACCAAGAAAGTTGGTTTGGGCCATGGAGCCAAATTGTACGGTTGAAGATACAATTCATGAGGATACAAATTATTTAATTATAAATATAAATTATTTATTATAAAATGTGATAAAATAATAATAATACCGGGTACCTAACTAAAAAAAACTAATAATTTTTATTTAATAATCATCTTTCTTTAGAATATTTGTAATAGTTTTGTATGTACTCAAACGAGAACTGAAAATGTGAGCTTTGTTAAACTTATTCGGAAGCAAAGTTGAAAGTATTAACTAACCTGTTCGATATGACAACAGAGCCATCCAAGGAAATTCAAACAATCCAGTTTTGTTTCCATTAACAATCTTGTTATCTGTATCGAAGTAGCCGCAGTTTTTAGGCAAAAGTCCTATATTTTTATGCCTAGAAACATTCGGTGGTCCTGCTACATCAGGCTTCTTTTCACTTACGAGATCAAGCACTATAGGTTTTGCAGGACAACAAACTTTAGGATTTCTACCATCAAAACCACAATGGTACGATTTAAGTAAGTTAGTGATTCGTGCTGGGATAGGTTGAGGTACTTTATCTAAGACGTCCATGATATTTTTGCATGAGTATATAGAAATACAAGTTCCTGACGCTCCATCGGGTGTGGTGCAACCCTCGTCTTCCACCACCCATTCTGGAAAAACAACCGAATCGATGTCGTTGGTATCTAATTCAAGGACTAGAAGTAGTAGAAAATCGAAAGAAAGTGCTTTGCTAACATGCTTGTGTGTTTTTAGTATTAAACGTTACGAAAATGTTTGTAACTTTTATTAATACCTGAAAACCTAACCTGTAATCAGTAGATACTAGTACCTAGAAATTTATTTGTTGTTGATGTTGTTAAAATACGCATTAGATGATAATAAGCAATTTGCAAATAATGACGTGATGAAAATAAATTGTATGTAGTCGATTTTGACTCACAATCGACAAACCTGAAGAAACAAATTGCTAAAATTAACAAAATTTAAAAAAAATGTAAAGAAACTCTGAAACTTTAAATCCATACACTATGAGTTTAGCAATTTTAACAAATTATAATTTAAAGTTTCATGTATTTGGTAACAATTACATACAGATAATAAAAATAATTATAATAGATTATTAAAGATCTAAGCATTTGAACGCTTATGTCATTAGAATAATATAAATATTATGTTATTAGGAGTAAAAGTGATAGTTTATGTGTCGACGCTGAACGTTGATTATTAAATAATTCAGCATAAATCCCACTAAACTGGAGGAGGGTTATAGCCTGGGCTATAGCATAAAAGCAGTTGCAGACTAATAGAATTTGAACAAAAGCATAATTTTAAGAGTGAAAAAGAGATACAAACAAGAAGAAAGTATAGCTTCTTTTCAAGCAATACTTTTAAACTTAAAAACAGATAAGTAAATTTACACATTGAAAGAGTTAGAAAGAACGGGTTACTTGATTTTTACAATTATATTGTCCGCCGCTGTACATTTGCGGCCTTTGAAAACTAAGTCATTTTGGCCTTTTGGCAAGGTTTATTCTTCGACACTGTCAAAATTTACGGTTTTTCTCCTGTGTAAGGAAGTTTTGACAATTGTTTGGCATTTCTCAATACGAAACGTCAGATTATTTTTAACAGATATAAAGCAAGTTTAAACCTTGTTGAGTCTAATTCGAAGAATAAAATCTTGTATTCAACTCGTTTGAGTGAAATCGGACGCTTTATTCCACCTCGTAGATCATGGTTTAAAAATCCACTCGGTGAAATAATACGCCCGATTTACACTCAACTCGTAAACTCGTAGAATAAATAACTTTTTTATCAAGAATGACAATGTCAGTTTCAATTTTTCAGATTCGGATGGTGCTGCAATAAAATATTAGTTATTTCTGTCAACAAAATTTAAGTTCGTTGTTTTAAAATATAAAGAAACTCTACGACTATACGAATATTTGAATGACATTTTTGAAACTTCAGTTTCAAAACATTTTATAACGACAAAATTTTGGATTTGTCAAAGTGTTTTAGTTTTTGTAACTTTCTCAGTTTTTTCTTCCATAATTTATAAAAAAAGCAAAGTTTTTTTTTCAACCAACTACACAAATCGCTGATAAAAGAATGTCTAATGTAAACATAATTTAAATATGTTGTAAAACCATGAACTTTAAAGATATGAATGACATGTGGTCATGCACCTATTTCAGATTTCCCATAGTTTTTGAACAATTCTAAGAAATCAATTTCATGGGTATTTCCTAGTGAGTTGAAAGAATATGATCAAGTTATTGATTAAATGATAAAAAGTTCAATAACATAATAATCAGTTCAAGTTAATATCTACTATGTACTACTTACAAGTTAATTAATTGACAGTAGATACTGACATATTAGGTAGCTTTTAATTTAAATTATAACGAAGAAAATAAACACAAATAAAAATAATAAGCATGTAAATAACGAAACATTCAAATAATACGAAACCGGAAACTTTGGCCACAGGATTTGGACGTATGTACGTGTAACTTAAAATATCATAAAAGTGCAGTTGCTATAAGAAAAATACTTACGCGCTTTGGTAATCACAATAAGGTGAATTAACACAAAAACATAAAACTTGAATAAAACTTGATCGCAAGCCATGCTTTCCACCGACCACTTCCAAACCAACTGATCTCTCAGGCGTCCTTGTAGATCTTTTAAATGATGCAGTCTCTTAACGTCACTGAATATCATTAGCGAACGATAGTCTTCTCTCATTCAAGAATCGCTAAACCTAATTGTTTGAGGTAGGTAACTAGACAATGAATGAGAATGATAGGTTTACCACAAAAAGAAAATTTTTTGTAATTTCGCGTAACTTGATTTGTTGTAGGGTAAATAAGAGAATATAAGAACATGAATATGTTTTACTATAAACAAAAAAAATTGTTCCTTATTCCAAATTATCTAAAATCCACTTCATGTACTTTTGAACATTGGTGTAGATACCAGGACGACCACCTATACCACAATGAGTGGGTCCGAAAGAGACAATTCCGTATTGGACGTAACGGGGAGTCCCGTTTATGAGGTCGATACGCTTGAGAGGACTCCCACTGTCTCCACTACAAGAATCTTTGCCATGATCTGCACCAGCACAAATTTGCTTTTTGGTAATGGGTTTGAGGTCGTGGTAAAGAATTTGGCATTCTTCTCGGGCCATCACTGGTACTGATACTTTTCTGAGTACCATGCTCTTTGCTCCTTTAACAAAAAAAAATAGTAAATTTTTAACTAACAAATGTCTGGAATTGTATACCATCTTCAGTAGCACCCCAGCCCGCCACTGTCATTTCTTGCTCCTCCAACTTGGCATGCAACAACTCACCGAATGGTAAACAAATTGGTTTGACATTCTCTAAAAAATGAGATTTATTAATAATACAAATAAATAAATTAATTAATTAAAAATAATAAATAATAAATTATTTATTATTAAAAATAAAATAATAAATTACGAGTATTATAAGTTGAAACTGTATGTACCAGTGGCGACTCAGGATTCATAATCAAATAAAAACGAATCGTAATTAATGACGAGACGACGTAGAAGCCAAGTCTTTAATGAGAGGAGTCACCTAAAACCTTTTGCGTACGTGCATACAAGATTTTCTTGTTAAAGCTCCCAAAACACGAATTCACACCTCTTACTAATTAAAAAAAATTCCTTACCATAGTAACCAATTTTATTTTTTAGTCCGCAAAAACTGTTTTTGGGGACTGTACCTAAAATAACCGTTTTGCGTACTATTTTATTGAGCCTGGAAAAGACTCATTTTAGGGACTCTTTTAAAATATTTGTGATTATATTTTTCTAGATATGTCAAAACTTCTTAAGTTTAGTTCTACATATGACTTTAATAAGTACCACCTTCTTTCTTAACTATTTTTATGTTTGAAGATTTTTTATAATTGTCCGAAAAGAAAAACAAAGTTTTTAATATTGTACATTCCTATCGAGAAAAAAATTATTTTAAGGTCACAAGCCGCCACTGCTATCATCCCACGTTTTCCTACTGACCAAATTACCATAACTATAATTCGCTGGTGTGTCCAGTCTGATCAAGGCAATATCATTTATAAATGTCGTTGGATCGTAAAATGGATGGATTATGGCCTTGTCGATAGATATATCTTGTACAGGGGATTCACAGTTTTGCCCATTGGGGTCACAGTCCGGGTCTGTCATTATGTTGTATTCACCTAAGCGAACTCCCATTCTAGAATCATGGGTTTTCCACTAATAACTGGTGGGTTTTTAAACTTACATGGTTGTATTTTCAATGCAATGTGCGGCTGTAAGAACGTACCGAACCGTTATTAAAGTTCCTCCACATCTGAAGTCTCGTTGAGAAGAAGAATTCCCTGGAAATAATTTCTATAATAAATACTTAATTATGTTAGTAAATAATTAATGTGACTTTTTTAACAAGAAGAAGTTAGGCATTTTTTCTTTAGATTACCTACATGTAAATTGATATACAATATTTATTTATTATTTGATTAATGAATACTTTGGTAAATTTAATTTTTATTTGCCCACTTGAGCTTGGAAAATTACTGCTATTCACACTTGGTTAAGCATAAGTACACACTCTGGAAAAAAAATCCAATAAAGTTTTAGGAATGAGCACAATATTATTTAATTTTACGGTTTTTCATCTTACTTTTATTACAAAACAAATTAATGCAGGTACTTAAAACTAAATTATGCTTATTTATTATTTAAACGTATTTAAACAATGAGATATACTGATATGCTTTGTTTACTGAAAAAATAGGATCTTTGCCAGTTATTAATAGTATTTTCTTCTTCGTTACCTACGAAAGTAATTTGCATCATGTTAAATAAGTTTTTCTACAAAACATACACATATCTCTGAATCATAATAAACATAAAGCAATTTTCTTCTTTTGTATAAAGTCAAATTAATTACCGCTCACAGCCAATTAATTTAGTACCTGTTTTGTAAGCAATCAAGGCCATCCAAGGAAATTCCCCCGGACTAGTTCTTGTTCCTGAAGTAATCCTTAGACCGTTAGAAATTTGACCACACTTATCCATAGGCAAAAAGTCAAAATTCTGATGGTTCACCAAATCCTCACTAACTCTATAAACACGAGGTGCGTTTGTTATATTCTCTGACATTTTTTCCGTCGCCTCTGTAGGTTCTACAGGCACACAACAAATTTTTGGTACATTTTTAATAAAGCCACAATATGTTCTTTTAGCTGTAAATAAACTGTAGCCTTGCGATGCGTTTGGACAGTTTGGAATCTCAGTGCACACATTTGGTGGACGACAATAGTAGACTAGAAAATATATTATAAATAACATTTAATTAAAATAATGTACTTACAGTGTAGGATGTGACTTGAGACAAAAGTGTTGACACAAATTAAAAATAAAAACAATTTCTGTAACATCTTAAAATTTCAGATTTACATTTCACACTGCATATTACAAATTTTCAATTTTCTGTGTTTATGTGAAAATAGAATAGTTAAAACTGGTTATACTTTGTGTAAAGTGCAAAAACTTGACCATCAGGTGAATACAAGTGCACAAACGATTATTAAACATAAGTGACATCATTAATTTCTCCAATGTTACAATAATTTTTTAATGGATCTTATTATTTCTAACTACACCACGTAAAAAGCTTCACTTTAAAGACATAGGAACTAAACGAGAATGAATGATTCTTGTAGGCACTAGATGCCACACCTTTCTTGTAAGAAAGTAGAGTCTAGAGGGTAGAATGTAGGGTAGAAGTTTGAATAGTTAAAATAAATTTTATGCAAGTTCATACATAATTTATTATTGAATTATTATACCTACTGAACTGATAAATAAATATTTTTTTAATTACTTAACTTCATGAACAACTAAAATAAATGATACCACGTTTATTTAATCGGAATACCTAAATTGATTTAAAAATACCAACAATTAACACCGTTGTAAACACTGCTATCTTTTTACCTCGTGCAGCGTACAGCTCAAATATCTTTCATCATTAATTATCAGAAATTAAATTTTCCTTAGTGTTGCCATAAACATTTTGTAGTCAGGTCGCTTCACATTTTAAGCATCTGATAACAGTAAGTACCTATCTAACTATACTCAGTTATTGATATTAGAAAATAATATTAGGCTCTGAATAATTCCGACTTTATGAAGATGTGACAGTATGTGTATAAGTTTCACAGATCTTTCACAACCTAGTTTTTTTTAGTAGTCAATAATCATTATCTTATCATTATTATACAAATTACTTATTACTTTAATAAAATTCAGAAAACGAAAGATACGACTGACTTAAATTCTAAAAAAAATCCTTTTGGCTAAATACCTACCAACATTTGAAAAAATGTAAATTGATTGGATACAGAAATTAATTATAAGAGGTATTAGGCACTAGAATTACAAATACTTGTATACAGTATGTCCCCGGATTGTGTTTACAAGAGGAAAAAAAAATCTTTGATTTTACGCCAAAACTGGAAAGGAAAAACATGTTTTGCTTTACCTGAAACGAGCAAAACTGTAATTAAAATTTTATTATTCTCAATAAAGAGAAACGTTCATTTTTCTCTTGATTTTGGACTTATAATAATTTTTCTCTGCTTTTTAAGTCCTATCACATTGGCGGTTTTATTATTTTGACAAGTTAAATAACAAAAATGTTTGTGAAAAACATAATTTTAATTAATGGCAACTCAAAGAAACAGCTTTAAGATAAAAACCAAAGTCATTTTTAACAATAACTATCATTATTTAATTAATAAATTAATTGTCAAAGTGACATAGTTGTCAAATAAATAAAACCGACAATGTGATAAGACTTAAAAAGATGAGAAAAATTATTCGAAAATATGTCGAAAATCAAGAGAAAAATTAATTTTTCTTTTCACTGAATCAGAATAATGAAATTTTAAGTACAGATTTGCTCGTTTTAGGTGAAGCAGAAAATGTTTTTCCTTTGCAGTTTTAGCGTAAAATCAAAGATAAAAACTTTTTCCTCTTGTAAACTTAATCCGGGGACATACTGTATAAAATCTCGATCTGTGCAAACAGAATGTAACATAGGTAATGGTAATGACTAATGATTTAAAAATATACTCTTTTTCATATTAATGTGCACCAAGTAGGTTGTAGAAGTCTAAATGAATCTTTACTTTAAAGGCCGATTTACACAAAAAGTTTCATTAATGTCTTTCAGAGCAAATTTAATCACATCAATACTACAATAATGACAATAATCTTGATGTTTGCTATCCTATGTTAATTACGTTGTTAATTTTAATTATTTTTTGTTACATGCGGTACACAATTATTTGAAAAAATAATTTTTAGGGAAAATTGAAGTTAGAATTGTTTAAATTTTCGCATGGTTGCCACCCTAAAATGATCCCTTTCTATGCACCTTAATTTGAAAACGAGTATAAGTTGCAGTGCACTCTTCTGGCTGTCATTATTATTGAAAATTGTTTTTTTTTTCTAAATCTTAAAGAATATTAAATTCTGTAATTTTGTAAATGCGATTAACTTCCGGCGGAACTGGTGGAAAGTGAGAATACTTCCTATTCCTAACTTCACAATCTTCACAGTTCCTAACACAAACAAAACAGCTGATGTTCAGCATTGCTTTTTAAGATAATTATATTGAACATGGATTCTGAAAGCGGCCATATTATACCAGAAAATAGAGATGAAACAGCAGGGCCTTCCATTTCAGATTCTGAATCTGGTAAGTGGCATTTTAGTTCCCTATTATCAATTCTTAAACATATTTTTAGAGGTTAGGGAGCCTAATCAAAGTAACAGAAGGAGGTCTAAGAAAAGACAAGATAGATGTACTATTTTACTTAAAAGGCAACGCAAAATGTTTGGTAAAATATAATGTTCTTTAACAATTTTTCGGTTCTTTTGTTTATTATGTTTTTTAGAGAAAATGTTGGATATTGCTATACGCAAGAAAAGGCTGCAACTAGATTATATGAGGAAGGAACTTGAAATGAAAAGACAATTACATAATTTAAAGATGCAGATGTTGAGAAGTGAGCTAGATTTTAAAAAGAGACTTTTGGCTCTAATGAATGTGGATATTGAAGACGTTAATGTGTAATTGATAAGTCTAATGCTTTGTATTTTGTAAGATTTTTGATAAGTATTGAATAAAATGTTTTGTGATAACATAATTATTGGAGTTGAAACATATTTTGTTAATAAATCAGTACTTCCACCTTTACAGGATACTACGAGTAGGTAGAAGATATCTTAGGCCTGCACATATTTATCCAAAATTTCTGTATTACTGGTTGCCAGTAATTTTCACTTACAATGAAAAATAAATCGTTTTTCTAATTTGTTTATCCAAACGATAAAATAATTAACAAAAAACTGTTTTTATATACGCAAATCAAAATATTTATTATTGTAAATTTTGTTTTTTTTAATAAAAATAGGAAAAACAAATAATTATTATCAACGTTTGAGATTTTCACCTTTTGTGTAAACAGTGTTTTAGATCCGCTATAAAAGTCTAAACAACGTGAATCTAATTGAAGAGTGATTTAAGATGAACATACAAATGTTACTAACATGTGCTGTTTTTCTCATATGCCCAACAACTTTTGGTTTGTTGCATGTTTTTTTCTATAATTTTTTATCTCCGTTTCGATAACACACAGTATTTGCAGCTGTAAATAAATTATCAGAATGCCCTCCGCCTTTATCATGCCTCCTCATTACAAAATGCAAACCCCTCATGGGTGCAATAAAAACTACACAAAATTCTCCCGCAATAATAAGATTCCTAAAAGCTCAAATCTGTAGTCACAACAACAAGCAAGAGCCAAAAGTGTGTTGTCCGGTAGATAATCCTGTCAACAATAAAAGTGAGTACCTATCTATTTTATTATTTTATTGCTTCTGAATACCAAGTATGTAAAACAATTAGGTGAATCACCGTGCAAACCTTCTTTTCGATGCGTCAGTTTGTCTGGATGCGGCCCTTTGATGTATTTGGTAAATTTGGAAAAACCGATGCCAGCAGGGATTGCAAAGTTTATCAAGTCTCAGCAGTGCGGCACAGGTAAAACCTATCCCAAGGTGTGTTGTAAACTGGAGGTACAAGAGTCGGGTCTTGAAAAATCCCCACAAAGTGTTACGGAAAAAACTTCATTACCAACGAAAGTAAAGGCCGAAATCATGAATAAACTTTTTAATAATGGATTTTTTGATTTTATAAACTATGACCTGTTCGTCAGGTAAAAAATGCATAAATTTTAAATAAATACTATCAAGTAGGCAAAGTGTATTTTATTTTGAACGGTTTGATTTTAAAATATTTAAAAGATTTAATTAAACAGTGCTTTTGGGATTACAAAGGACAATCGGAAAAATTTCTACTCTTACTTTTCGATTTGTGTTAGACTCTTGGATTAGAACAATACGCCCCAAGCTAAAACTTCATCATTTTTAGAGATCTATGATTAATGAAAATTTGTAGGTCGAAAAAAGAATTAGAATAGACAAAAAGTTTGCTACTAAAATTTGTGTTGATATACCAGAATAGATTAAATATTTCAGCATTGCTTTTTAACTGTTACTATGTCATTATCAACAAGGCAAAACAGGCTGAATTATAAAAAAACGCTGCAATCCATAATTTCATATTATTTTTAAAGATATGATATAACAATACTTCTTTGATCAAATTTGAACTGTATAAGTATATCTATTGTGAGAAATTGTTTAATGTAGACGTTCGATCAATACGAATAGATGATAATAAACTATGCAAGTTTATTCCAAGAAGTATTGTCATATCTTTAAAAGAGTTTGGCTTGGGGCGTTTTTTATAATCTATGCTGTATTTTATATCTTTACAGTTTTCTTAAACAGGTTTACATTTTAGCCTTTAGATGGCAGATTATCACTAAAATAATTCACATAAAAATGAAAGATATAATTATAAAGAATAAAGTACATATTTGATATTAAACAATAAGAGTAATTAGTACTTAAACTAAAGACAAGTTTAGTTTGATTCATGTGTAAAAGCGATACAGTGCAAAAACGACACTGTGACACTGGTTATTATCTAATTAGGAGTAAAGTCGACACTTTTACCTCTTTATCCCTTTCCCTATTTATAGGTCTGTAAAGCTAAATAACGTCTCAAAAGTGACACTACGTATTTAGAAACATATATTTATACTAGTTATTTACTTGCTAAGGTATATTTACTTACACATAACAAAAAATTAAAATAAATAGTTTCAGAAACAAATGGATTTGCTATAAGAGAACCATTTCTGCCTGGATTATCAAAAACGCTCCAAGCCATAAGTTAATTATTTTTTAGAATATGACAATACTTTTTTCATCACAATTGAACAGTTTTGTTGTAAGCCGTTTTTTGGGATGGACTCTTATTCAATATGAATCGTGACAATAAACTGTCCAACATTGTTCTTAATAGTATTGTCATATTTTTAAAAATATTGAAATTATGGCTTTGGGAGTTTTTTTATAATACAGTTTTTATAATACATAACAAGTTAACAACATTAAAGATTAAATACTTACAATGCCATACATAAAAATAAATTCCTACATAATTATTCCTAATTTAGAAGACACTGTGTAAAGGCATCTAAACATTTTTTTTTATTTTTTATATTGTTTTCTAAATTTTTAATAATTTTGGTAATTTTATCGTTTATAAGTCAGTCATGCCACAGGCATCGTCACTTTTCAAAATGTTTTTTCTAGGTATATGAAAGAGTGGAGCTTCTTGGCTTAAAATTTGTCAGTAGGGATCAGTTGTAACATAGATTTTTCTTTTACACAGAAATCAAATGTTTTTAACCTATTTCACTTTAAAAACGCAGTTCCGACGTTGCCAGTGAGGCGATAGCTATGGCACGGGTATTACCTTTATATATACTTAGTATACATAGTTTTTTTTTGCATACATAAGGAATTAAAGAAGTGTCGCTTTTAAATCAAAAGGAATAGTCGATTTTGCTTCAATAATGGTCAGTGTCGTTTTTGCACAGCGTCTCTTCTACATGGATACCGTTTAGTTCACTAGAATTACTTATTGATTTATGCCTCAAAAAATAACAAAAGCTAAAAACAAATTGTTTCTACTATTTGTTTGAATCTCATTGGTATGACTTTCAATATTAGCATCAATTTTTATACGAAATTTCATAAAGAGGGATTCTTAGATAACATTTTCTGAACATACCCCTAAACAATGCAATAAGTTTTTTCTTCAACTATTTAATGGTTCAAAATGAGTCCAAATGAAACGAAATATTATACACGACGATAAAGATTGTTTATCTAAAAACTCCACTCGCGACTTCGTCACTCGTAAACTTAACCTTTTCGCTCGTAGATAAACAATTTCTTTTTCGTCTTGTATAATAAATAACTATTTTTAAACAGAAGTCATTCATGTATTTTTTTAAACAAAATATGGTGTCATAATGTATTTAATATACGTGGTGAATTTAAAGTATGTGAAAATATTTTAACAGGCGATAGTAGAGCTCTAAAGAAGTCAAAGTAACTAAACTTGTCTTATCCGAATGTTTATATACTTTCTGATGACATATAGAGGTGCAACCTCCACCTTTGCGTCGGAAAAATTGTCAAAAAAGCAACATAAACAAAGTTTAAATCTTTTGAATACTTTATACCAAAATTTACATTGCTAGTTGTAGGTAATGAAATCCGGTGCTATATCTTTAACAAAAAAAAAAATGGTTACAAAATTTTTACCGTTTTATATATTTTTTTAAATGAGGAATTTTTTGTGCCTGTTTTTGTTAGTTTTCACTCATTTTTTTTGAAACAATGAAATAAATTTTGAAGAGCTAACCTTGGAGATTACACCGTGCAATCAAATAAAAAATAAATTACAGTAGGCGTCGATTAAATTCTACAGTTGGCAACACATTGACTGGGAATCTGGGCTCGAAATTTTCCACACAAACTGAAAGTGAAAATGACCATCCACCGTTTTTCTCTTGTACAGCAATAAAAATTTTCTGCTCTAAAGTATACATTATTTCACTCAAAAGGAATAAAACGCAAACTTGTCAAAGTTTTCGCTGACATATGATGTCAAAAATCAGGATTGCCATCTGAAGGACTTTAATCACCGCCTACTCTATTTTTTTTTTTTTTGATCGCACGGTACTTGTTTGTTACAATTTGACTTGGTGAAGTTAAATACTGCGCCTCAAATTTAAACTTATTCGACAAACAAAACCCTCTGTATCTCAAAAACTATTAACATTCGGTTAAGACAAGTTGAGTTATTTTGACTTCTTTTGTGCTTTACCATCAACTGTTAAAATATTCGCACATATGTACTACTTTAAAATAATGCCGTATAAGAAACTCTGTGCGAATACAATAATTACGTACAGTTGGTCATTTTTAATAGAGCCACCTGTATGTATACAAGGTGATTCTTTTAGGGCCTATATTAGAAACTTTTTAACTTCTAATGCAGATAGAAATTTAAAATTTGGTACACATCTCAAATCGACCAGTCTAAGTTCAATTAAATTATTTTAAAAATGGCTGAATTTCCGGAACTACGAGAAATTGGCGCCAACTTTGAAATTTTAAATGGTAACCACTTATTTTGATTGCATTTTTGAATTTTCCTCTCCAAACTGAGTAAAATGTATCTAGTTATTAGAACTTATCTGTCATAGTTTTTGACATATGTCAATTTTTTGCTCAAAATTTTTATTTTCAGAGGTTTATTAAAAACATCACAGCTCTTGAACCGTTTGCGATAAGTCAATAATTTTTTTTGCATTCGACAACCAAACGTCCGAAGAATTTCCTAAAATTTTCAAAATTGTCAACTGTCAAATTGCAAAGCTTATATGATTTTTTGAAAATATAAATATAAAAAAAAATATAAAATATATTTAACAAACAACTATAACTCAGTTTTTTCAAATAAAATGACCCCATTTTCTCAACGGCAAGCGAAAGTACATCGATTTCTAGAAGGACTTTTATCAACATGTCCTTACAGTTTCTAAAATAATCACGAAAAACATGTTTTTGTTTTTTATTTTTATAAAATAAATAAATAAATAAATAAATAATCACGTAGGCTTTGGAAAATGATCAATACGTATTAAAGATTTAGTCTACACAACACCCATTCGGAATTACGAAGAATTGAGGCAAGGATTGAGGCGGAATTTAATAATCTTCAACCAAATGAAATAATGGAAGCCACTCAATCAGTTCACCATCGAGTTTTGGAATGGTTAAAAATGGTAAACATATCGAACATCTGTATTAATTATGGTATATCTTTATTGTATTTTTTCAAAGCCAATGTGATTAACTATAAAAATAAAAATTATAACATGTTTTTCGTGATTATTTCAAAAACTGTAAGAGATAGGTAAAGGACATGTTGATAAAAGTCCCTCTACAAATTAATGTACTTTTGATTGCCGTTGAGAAAATAGAGTCATTTCCTTTGAAAAAACTGAGTTATAGCGGTTAGGTAATGATCATTTTCAAAAAATCATACTAGCCTTGCAATTTGACAGTTGACAATTTTGAAAATTCTAGAAAACTTTTAGAACCTTTGGTTATCGAATGCAAAAAAAAATATTCACTTATCGCAAAGGGTTCAAGAGCTGTGATGTTTTGAATGAACCCCTGCAAGTGAAAATTTTGACCAAAAAATTGACATATGTCAAAAACTATGACAGATAGGTACTAACAACTTGGTACATTTTACTTAGTTTAAAGAGGAGAATTCAACAATGCAATAAAATTAAGTGGGTACCATTTAAAATTTCAAAGTTGGCGCCAATTTCTCGTAGTTCCGGAAGTTCAGCCATTTTGAAAATAATTTAATTGAACTTAGACTAGTCGACTTGGGTTGTGTACAAAGTTTCAAATTATTATCTGCATTAGAAGTTAAAAAGTTTCTAATGTTGGCTCTAAAAGAATCACTTGTATACATTATCTAGAAATAATATATGTATATAGGATGCGCCAGAACTCGCGCCCAAAAATACCATGTAAAGTAAGATACCAGGAACATGAAAAAAAAATTAAAAATTCTATCTATAAAAATTTCGAAGTTATGAGAGTTTAAATTTTGCACTTTGACTCTATTTATTTCTGTTGAAAAAATAATTTTCCAAGTTTTTTTGCTACATGCTATCAGAAGAGGGAAACATTGAAGCTGCATCCTAAATTGT